ATTCTTAGGTTCTGACTATTCCCGACCTATTAGTTTGACCTATGTAGTTGACCTCACAGTTATTGCAGGTTAGTGTTAGTAGTAGTGTGCCTTTGACTCAACTAAATGACGTTACTGCCAATAGACACTTCAATTCTTGCAACCACTTGCCTAAAGTTACCTTGCACATGGTCCAAGGTTCGATCCCCTGCCGACGCACACCTGATATCTATGGTCGGCCTGCAAAATTTGGGCTACCGAACATCCTCCTTATTCTCAGCTTTCGCCTTATATATCTTCGGGTAAAACCATAAGACACTTCATAAGAATTTACTCTGATACAGCTACTAAATATAGAAATTCTACCATACCACCATATTTAGCACGGCTTTTGTATGAAGAGAGAGTCAGATGTCAGAAAAGAACTTGTAAACAAAGCTTTTTAAATCAACAACTGAACTGCATAGGATAAGCAAAGATTATTATTACATGTGTCATCTATGATACTGTCTACTTATACTCCATTGTGTTCCCACCAACATTCTGTTTCTAGCGATTTCATTATTACTATTTTAAATTTTATGTATGTACATATTTGTAAAAGGAGCCTAATTGTTGCGATATGTATAAAAAAAATTGAGAATTCCATTATGTATAATAGTTATTGTTGTTTGAAATAAAGTGATTATCATTATTAGACCTTATGCTCCGATAATGTGAGTCGGTAGCGCAGCGGTAGAATGCTCGCCAACCACCCCTTATGTGGTCCGGGGTAAGCCAGTAATAATACTGATAAAGAGGGAAGGTTAGGTATGAAGCTAGCAATCCCTTCTTGTAAAAATAAACACCACTGTCACTAAAACTTCAGTCTCTAGCTTGAAGCTACCAAATGTTCCACTGGGAACGTAAGGGTATAAAGAGAATGCTCGGTTGACTAAGTATAAAGCCTCTACGATACGTTGTTTGACCATTAATTTTAAATTCATATTTTCATTAACATTATCATCAATGAAATTGCCGTGTTAATTATTTCCTGCCCTTACTACGGATTCCAAACAGTGAATTCGATCTAATACTGTACTACATGTTTATTATCTCAGCCGTAGAATAGAAAGGAAACATAAACAACTTATATTTAGTTTTGTTTATTTAATCTATATGCGGCTTCCCTTCATTATTACCATTGTCATTTTTTTTTAAATTTCACTTACCCCAGTCATCAAGTCTACCTTATCAAGTTTCTTCATTTCAACGTGCATATAAAAGTGCACTTGCTTGTGTGGAGCTGAGTACATCGGCCGTACCATGCGCCATCTTTAAAAACGCTCTCGTGAACACTATACAGCTCCGCTAGTAAAAGCAGAACGGAAACATGTATATAGTTCAGCAACAGAACATCCGGCCAATTCACGATATTCACAGTGCCATTCAGGAAATCCTTCAAAACCATATACAAGATTCGACCAAACCTATCAAAGGGAGTAAAATCAAGACATCTTGGCATAACCCAGGCAGTGGCTATCCAAAAGCTCAAACCCACGCTATTTATCGAAAAGAAATACGTCCAAACCTTGCCCCTGCCATGGCAATCATAAACAGGTGATTCCCATTGCCTTTCTTATCTAAACTTCCTGTTTATTCATGCCATTTTGAAGTTTTTCTTAATCCCTATTTACACTACCATAATTTCATATCCAAACTTCTCGTCTAATTTGCCATTTTATTGTTTCTACATATTTAACCACTAATTGCAGAAACAATTATTCGTCACAGTTTTTATCCAAACATCCTGTCTATTTTTGTTATTTCTAACCCCTAATTGCACAATATGTCAATCTTCCCAGCAGTTATGATACTACTTTGTTTGAGTTTTAACCATCGCCCTGTTTATTATAGCATTTTAATTCCTAGTTATAAATTTATTAATTTGCCCATTGATCAGATATTATTCTGGAACTTTCTCACCCATTTATCATAAACACACGAATGTACAGCCTAGTTGACGATTTCGTGGAAAAGAAAATTTTCTTCGCTGCAATTATCTTTTTATTATTCCCTATGATCTAATGTGTATATTCCGAAATTCCCCTCTGTTAGGTAATGTTCTATTTGTCTAATAACGCTATCAATGGTGCATCCCTTTCCGATATATTTACACTCTATGACATTACTTGTATTATTATTTGATAATTAACTAGGATTGTAATCACAAACATTTTAATTGCATTTCAGCTGACACTGTTTAAATTTCCTTCCTTATATATATATATATATATATATACGATAGTGCAGCTTAACAACAAATTCACTGAAAAGTCTCTTCACCGAATATTGGGTTCTTAGTGTTACAATGGACCTCGAGTAGTTTACTAGCTCCCTATTGTTCTAGCCTGTCCCAAGCCAGGGAAAAGAAGCAGGCTTGGGTGTGGCGCCAGCGACAATATACCGGTGAATCAATCAAACTGCCAACGAAACTTCAACGTGCAAGATAAATAATAATAATCTTTAAAATCTTAAAACTTGGAATTCAAAAGTGATTTCAAAGCAGAAATTCTTACAAACTTCCTTTCTAAATGTCTGAAGAAGACATTTCAAGCAGTCACCTCATATTCTCCGGCAGACAGTTAATCCATTCTAACGTTAAGGATAAGATACCGCTTTTGGCCACCTCAGTGTGCATTTATCAGTTTACTTGCTTGTGTGGAGCAAAGTATATAGGCCGTACGCAACGTCAATTCCACACACGTATTCTGGTATATTGTCCAGCTTGGTTAGCCAGAAGAGAAAAGAAGAATGGTAGCAGCTCCATTCTCCAACACCTTGTCAACTCTGGACATAGAGCGCTTTCGCATGAATACTTCGCAGTGCTACACAGAGTCCGTACATAGCTGAATCATACTGAAGATCTGAAACCTGACCTCTGCATTCACTCGCCCTACCGTGGCCAGAGTGACGTTCTTATTGTAATTTCGCTTCTTTTTTATTATTATTACTTTTATTATCTTATTATCATTATTATACTCATCATCCATATTTTATTACCGCTCTATTACCGTTTATTAATAACATTGAGTTTCCATGCATATTTTATATATAAACTTATATTCCCCTGGAATCAGGGAGGCAAGTTTGATGTAATTACCGAAAGATAATTCAGATTGCTTACGTCACAATACGTGAAGAGCTTTTTATCAATAAGTCATGACAATGGTTTCGCTTTAGTGAACCGACATGATGTACATGCTCACCGACAATCATAACGTTGTAATTACACAAAAAATGTTTGACTACTCATGAGTAGTCAAAATACGATTAAAATTTAAAGCGCCTAACAAGTTTCTTAAACAGCACAAAATCTGAGGTTAACACTTCGGATTGTTCATGCCTTAATCTCACAGCTAATCAATTGTCCATCACGATAAAATGTATTTTCAGCCTTCCACTTTACAATTCTAACTAACTTAAGATTAAGACAGTTTCGTTCAGGTCATCAGTAGTATTTCATTACATGTAATCAAAAGCAGTTGTTTCAGATTGTGGTCCGTGTTTGGAGTTGTTAATTAGTCAATGGAAAGTTTGTCAAGTAGTTGGGGGGATACCACTTTGAAAAAATCAATCCCGTGACGTTCGTTCGTACTCGTTTAAAAAAGAGCAAAAGGAAGGTTTCATGAAAAATTTGAGACGTCGTGGTTTTGATATATGTAGCTACATTCCATTCAGCAGTTTGTTTCAATGTCAGATTAATGTGGAAATGTACAGAGTCACAAGTCATTGAAAATAGAAAGAATATCTTTTCATGATCGACCGAATTTTCAACGTAGAACTTTCCACAGAATTGCAGGAGTTCAAGTTGCCACACTCCATGGAGTACAAAAAGGTGAGAACTACACGGAATAGAAATGTATCCGAGGATGAATAACAATGATGAATCAAGGGGTTCATAAAGAGTGAACAGTTATGATCTATGTCAGTAAAATTCTCCAGGAATTGGATCCTAACGTCTCAAGGATCCAATCAGCCATATCTGCACCTCCTTCCTCCCTATGTAGCTGAAACTAACATTCAGAGGCTTCATGTACTGATGTCATGTGTTGATGTGATCAGCCCTAATTCCTTTCCAGCCTAATTTAAAGTCAGCTAACATTGTTCGAAGAGAAAGGCGATTACTTAGCAGGCGTAACACTTATCCTAGCCACTCTAATCGATACAGCTTCATAACCTCCTTACCTAACACTCTATGCTCAACTCAGACATCAATCATCAAACTATACTACTGGATATGAAATAGAATGCAAATACATAAGGTCAAAGATAACTAATGCCTTGAAGCCTTTTAATTTCAAAAATCACAGTCACGAACAAGGATGGAATGAACTGATTCACTGGAACACACAGTGCTGTTTAATCAACATCCGAAATTACATCTACGCCAAAGATGATACATATTGGCGAATGACCCAGGAGACTATTGTATCTGTACTGAGATTTCGTCAGTGACCAGCCCATCGGTGCTGAGGCAACCTTCCAAACAAGCGGATCAGCCAACACGCTCAACCACTTCCCTCCCTAACGAAGCAGCGGTTTACATTTAACAGGGGTGGATTGCATATCTAACATACTCAGATTTCTGCTCAATATGTTCAGAAGACTTTTCTTAGTTTCTGTTGCACAACACTGTTCACAGTCATTGTGGAAACCTATTAGAAAGCTTTCGCTTATCACCATCTTCGCATTCCACCAGAACCAGTCTACAAATAACAAAAAAGACCACCATGAGCATATGAAGCAAGTAGTTTAAGCACCATACTCGCCAATGAAAACTCTAAGATTGTTACCCAAAAATCTACATTTTATCTTCATTTCAACAGATGATCATCGCCTAGCAAGGTTAAAAGCAGTGTTAGGTACAGGAAAGATGATTAGTAAATCTAGACTGCATAGATACTAGAAGGTAAATTGTTAACATGAGTCAAATAAAAGATGGGATATGAAAACTGGGAGGTAGTAATAAATGATCCTCATATATATATATATATATATATATATATATATATATATATCAAGGCTTCATGCAAAAGTTACATAAACATGTGAGTGAGCAAAGCCAATTGTTTATCTCTACTGATCATAAGACATATGCAGAAAGGCATAAAAAGGTAATTGAAGAGGTTCGACAACAGTGAAAGAACACATGCATTTTCATTGATGAAAAAGAAGAAGGAGCAGATAGAGGGGAAAGGAAACTAATTGTGTTAGGAGAACACGTGGAGTAGAAAATGCGTTAAAAACTAAATGCAACAGTCAGTCAACTGATAAAAAAAGAAACCCAATATATTGAATGAGATCGATTTCATCACGGTAAATATCCCCTCTGCAAACAGATCAATGGTGTCTACTGAAACCTGTAAAACCAAAAAGAAAAATAAGAAAGAGAGAGAGAGAAATGTTTACAAGTGATCCCACTACTAAAGCGATACGATTACAGTAACGAAGTGAACACAACGATTTCAAGTTAACATGCAATCAACTTAGACACGTGGATGTATTATTTATAGGAGTCTTTTTAAAAGAAACCGTTTTCCACAGGATGATAAACAAGCGCTAACTTTAATTTATAACCACTTTAAGACCACAAAGTCATGAATCGCCAAAGCCTCCATTGTCTTTAAAAGTCTGTAACGAAGAAAACGCGACTTTAAGCCAGACCTTTGTGTACAAACGAAGTATGTACAATCCCTACTTCAGCCTTGGCCATAGAGGGATAAACATTTGCTTATTTATGTATTTTGTTTATTTAGTTATTCTATGTACCTTTCGCCTATTACTATTCTCACTCTGAATTGTTTCCGCTTGTCCCACTTGTCATTCTAAATCCATAAATATTATATTTTTTGTTTTTACAATATTGAATTCTATCGTATCAAATTCCACACCACACTATGTAACATTTTGTATTCGCCTACTAATCCTATAATTTTCACCCCTTTCCAACATCTATAAACCTTACAAATTATTCTATATATGACATAAATTGTTTTGCTAATTGACATTTAACTATGATTATAATTGCATGGAGGATGTAATCATGAGCTGACATCAGTTAGAGAACCACTGGAAAACCTGGGAGTACTGGACAGCCGTTTCGTCCTAGTTTGGGACTCCTCAGCAGTACGCACCCACCGGGATTCGAAGCCAGGACCTTCTGGTTACAAGGCGAGCTCGTAGACCATTGAGCCACTGGGACCCGATCCAATGGTCCTTGAATTCTAACTTCTGCCAGTTCACGACATAGCGCGACCACTTCGCAATGTCTTCTTCGATGAGTTACTGCCTCATCTTCGACCTGCTGTATATGTCAATACCTAGAGACACGGTATAAAAGTGGATACCGTAGACAAGAAACCTTTGTATCTTAAGTTAAGTTACAAAGGGGAAATCGAATATATTGTGGGTGATATTCACTATGACATTCGAACTGACGTATATCTCTATATAAATGGGTTGTTAATATTTTCCTGTAAAGGTGATTCAGTAAGTTCAACCTATAACTAATTGTCACGTGAAAGCATTCACCCATCTCCCTACTGTTATTTAGATGAAACTATGTCTCCTCCTTTCACTCTGAATTCATCACGCAGTTATATTGATGGTCTGAATGTATATTAACTCCATCCGAATCCGGTTATAATTCTCTGGTCACAACATTATTCTCAGTTTTCCTCGAAATTTCAAGTGATTCTAGAAATTTCAGTGTTGCAATTGATTGCAAGTTAGGTGGATACTTAGACTCGATTTCTTATCTGTGACAGTAAATAATTTCTTTGACTGATATCTATGTTTTACGGAATATTTTGAAACGAATTGATGCGGCAGCTGGCAAGGTAATCAGATTACGCATCCGTGACACTTCATTGGCGTGAAGAAAACTAAGGAAATAAGAGTGCATCTTCATTGCTTTGAGGTGATACGCTTGACTTCGATCAGCAACCGTGCCCTTACCACAGTATCCTGTGAGTGTTTTACTGACTCACCTCTTCTTATATAGGTGAACAACTCTATGTGTGCTTATCAATTCACCTGCTCTTGTGGAGCCAGGTATATCGGTCGTTCGACTTGAGTTTTCTCCAAGAGGGTGCAAGAACACTATCCTGTATGGTAGTTATGAAAAAGTGGAAGTGGAGCAGTAAGAAACGCGATCAGTGAACATCTGGTCGATAATGATCCCCCTATCTCTATAGCCTCCGCCTTTAAAGTCATCTACAAGGCTAAGAATAATTTACCCAAATTCCTACGTACCCGATTCATTTGTATTGCTGAAGCTTTGGCTATCGAAACAGAAAAGTCAGATCTCTGTGTACAGAAAAAGTTCGTTCAGCCCCTCCAACTTTCATGATCTCAATCCCTCTATGCTAAAGTATGATAATCCCTAATCATATTTTGGCTCAACCTAATTGTCGTTTTGTTTATTCAATTTGTAGTCTCTTCCTTATTACGTCAATTGTTACTAATACTATTCTCACTATTCTCAGTTTCGTTTTGCAATGTTAAATTCTATGCTATTAAATTTCCCACAATATTACGTAACGTTTTGTTTTATTCGATTTGTCTACTAATCCCTTTTTCAAGTTCTATCCATCCTATGAATTATTCTATATATGACATTAATTTGCTTTGCCACTTGACATTTAACTATGCGTATAATCACAAACATTTCCATTGTTAAACAATTTTACCTGTGAGTAGACTGACGTCAAAATCTAGTATCTGAAATGTTTTTGAAACATACCTAAATTATTTTGACTGACTGAAGAACCATGAGGTGAAGTGAGATTTGCCCGGGGATCAAGAGGTAAAGGAGTATTTGGGAGATATGAGTCAGGTTGTACAGTTGATCTCTGACCTGAAATGAAAATGTAATGAATGAATATAGTACATCATAATGGATAGAAAAAGGAGAAAAAAGACCAGTATGAATATAGAGTTTCATACAATTGATTCCCTTGATAAATTTCGATAGACAAAGAAATAAAGACCAGATTTCCAGTACAAAATGTGCTTTCATCATTCTATTTCACAGGCTATCATCATCAGCTAGCTGTAAACTACCTGAAATTACATTGCTTATAAAGAATGAAATTTCATACTTCAATGTTTGAAAGGTAATACAGAAAACATTATAAGATGACCGCATCGGAAATATAAGTATTAAAATTATTTTTAGTTTAAGTCACTATCAATTTATATGTTATCAAACTTTGAAAGAAAAAGGGTGGGAGGTGAGAGAAGACAGAAAAATCTAATAAACAGTGTTAGCTTCTACGTCAGCATGACACCTGAAGAAGGTCAAAGTTCATCAAATTGAAAAATTGCTTAGTGAGTTGAGCTCACTAGTGTGTATGACTAATCAGTGTAATGAAAGCAATTCATTACACTGATTAGTCATACATTATTGAGGTTAGGCGTCGAGTGCTAGGTAAACAGGGGAAATCAATCGACGAAGTTGTGAAGTTACAAAGACTGAGATGGTTAGGACATTTGTTATGTATGCCTAGTCATCGCCTTCCTCGACGAGCAATGTTAGCGAATATAGGGTCAGGCTAGAAAAGAGCTAGCGGAGGTCAAACAAAAACATGTTACCAGTCAATGAAATCTACAACAGTTAGTCTAAGCCATGTGGGAAGGTGTAGACTTCCTGGTTGGGGTCCTCAGGACAGTAAAAACAAATGGTTGGAAGCAACTGGTGACATGGCTCAAAATCGTTGTCAATGGCTGGCGCAGATGCATCCCCTCCTTGTGACTTATGATTTCAAATCAAACTGTTTCGTTCTTCGTTATTACTCTTCCTTTGTCTCACACCTCTGTTTACTGTCTCTAATATGCCTTTCTTGTACTTTCTTCTCTTGTTTTGTGTGCTACATGAAGGGAGTGTGGCGACTTGAACTGTGGCACATCTGTGCAGAGTTCTATGTCGAAAACAGACAATGAAAGTAATACAGTTACCAAAGGAGTGAGAGATTGACCACACTCTTTCTGTGTGTATAAGTTTGGTCCAAAACGTTTGATTGCTATTGTTTCGGCAAATCGTAGTAAATTGTCTTTCCTTTGGAGGTTTAATATTTTGAAGAATTTGGAAATCTCGACAAAATGACCCTTATCCACAAGCTGTCTGGTTATAGCACTTTGTAAATATCTGCTTCCTTTTAGGCATAAGTTTCTTGGAATATGCTCTGAAAACCAGATAGAAGCCCTTCTTTCTGTCCTTCCACTTGCTGCCGCAGGTGCACGTAAATTTATAAATGCAGTTCGAGGTAACATCAGCAGAGTATTTACCAAGTTTCGATTGGCTTATAGAGCATGTAGTGCTGTATAGTGTTCAATTTGATGAAATTTAACCTTCTTGAGTTGCCATGTTGACGTACAAGTTAACACTGTTTATTATATTTTTCTGTTTTACGTCTTTTCTCACCCCTCCCAACCCCGATGTACTTTTTCCATAGTTTGATAGCATATAAATTGATGCTGACTTAAACTATAAATTGTAATACTTATATTCCCTGCCTATGCATTTATCTTACAATGTTTTCTCCATTACCTTTCAAACATTGAAGTATGAAATGTATTAATTAATTTATAACCATTGTAATTTCAGGCAGTTTACAGTTAGCTGATGGTAGCCTGTCAAATAGAATGATGATATGATTTTATACTGTAAATCTGGTCTTACTACCTTTCTCTATCGTAATATAGAGTTATGCATCTAATTAAAAGTTTGTATTGCCTAATGGGAACATTTATAAGATTTATTGCACCACAACAATTGAAAAAAGACTGACTTTGAAATTAGTCTTACAGAAGAATACTGTCTTATAGTGAGGAAAATAAAGAAAGGCTACCACCTAAGTACACTTTTTATTAGAACCATTTTCAATCATATTTTTATCCTGTTTTCAAGTTGCCCACCTATCAACACTAAACAAATAATGCGCATAATTTCAAGTTGTCACATCAATGACACTGTGCAATGGACGAAGTTGTATGAAACACAACAAAAAAATTAAATGAAGGCAAGCGAATATTTTTCGGAGAAAGTTATTACATCTTCAATGTAGGTAACAACTCTAGGCCGTATCACCAATAGTCTCCAACTGATATGGAACACTTAAGTGGAGTCTTTCGCAGTAGTTGGTAAATGTGGAATATCAGCTTTAAAAAAAACAGCTCATAATAATGAGTAACTACACATGAATACCCGATCAAATATGTTATTTACAGACTCAGAATTAAAAGTTCCCCATCATGACAATCTATGACAAAACTCAGAATAAGAACAAACAAATAATCTCGAGTTTCTGATGGGGGGGGGGAACAAGGTTTAGCCAAGCTTCATATACGGAAACAAGTGATTGGCAATGAAGTGATCACTTGTAAAAAAAAAGTGACACTTTTGAGATGATATCATTCAGTTGTGTAATGGCATATTACCTGTGTTTATCAATGTAGCTTCTCTGGGATATTGACATACATTCGGAACAGAAACGAAAGACCAATTATTGACTGGCATACTCTGAGGTGTCAAAAAAGAATAGGCGGACATTTGGTGAGAACTAGTAGTTCCTGAAAGATTATTTTGAATTTCCATGGATTCACTAGTACCAGACTTGAGAGATGCAGTGTTGGCAGATGGTATAGGACCAGGAACACTTGATGAAAAGACTAGTCCAAAATCACCAGAATTTGGCAAACAAGGGCCACGTGACTGTGTATCAGCAGTAGGAAGTGATGACTTATTTTCTGTCTGTAGCCGTATCAAACGCTGAAGTTCCGATTGTAACGCAGAGATGCTAGCTTGTTGTTGTGTAATCTGGTTGGTAAGCAGCTAAAAAGCAAAAGATTAGATTTCAGGCACTTTTAAACATAAGGACACATAAGCGCACACACTAAGTGATCATGGAGGTAAAAGAGTTGTTCAGCGATATACATTTAAGACCATATACGACGTTAAGCTTACAACTGTTAACCCTTGGAAAAATCACGCTACAATTAAACTGCATTATAATGAAGCATGCATGATTTCCAATATCTGATAATTCACAGTACAGCATGATTACCAATCAATGTCAAGACTACTAGATATAAACCTAAAAGAATTGAGCAACACTCCAATAAATAAAATAACTAAAATTTATTATAGGAAGGGAAGAATTCGACGTTGAAACCGAATGAACAAAAGTGTAGTACCTGTGGATCGATGAGTCGCAACTATAAAACGATGTGGGGATATGATTTAGAATGAATCTCAAAGGGTTCACTAAACCTTTTTCTGGTTTATGAACTAAAAGGATAATATTATTGCAAATAACTGAAATTTAACTTCTTGAAAGTATTACCAGTAGTGTAGCGACAAAAGAAAAGGGCCAGGCAACAGATCCTTTATTGAGGAAATCAAGAGATATACATAGATTTCTATGTACATTATTATAGGTTATTGTTAGCAGAGAAACAACGTCTTCTGATTGGTCGTTTTCACACTGGAGATTAATCTGTCATCTCTTTGAAGGTCAGACCATATGTCTGCTGTTAGTATCCGCCCACGCAAAGTCTGCCGTGATTGGTTGTTGAGTTAGTCTTTGTCCTTGCTTTTTATCCCATGATCACGATTTGGGACGTGAACATTGACGTAAATTGCTGTCTACCAACTTTGGCTAGCAGGCAGCTCTCACCACACTAGTAATTTGAAAAAAAACCCACTAATATTTATCTACTAAGTTTTAGAACTTTCTTATTTTTTTCGAGGAAAACCATAAACCAACCAGCAAAAAAACGTTCCAATTCCTACTTGGGAATGCAAAGCAAAGCAAAGGAGATCCCGAATATTATTAGATGTAACATGAATAGTGAATTTTTAACGGGGATAAAAATATTGACTCAGCAGGTAAAATGTTACGAAAGAGAGTCGGGAAATAATCTTACCTGAATCTGAGATACAGTATGAACTCCACTGTGTAAAACTGGTTGATCAGAATCCTTAAAACTTGTAGGAGGAATTACACCTGTATTCTGTGAACACACATTAGACATACAAGGCATGGTTTTCAATGACTGCTCCTGCTGCCTACAGGCCATTGATTGACCACATAAACCAGAATCTGTCGTTAATACTTGATTACAATTTGCTGCTGCTGATGATGATGGGGCGCAGTGGCAATGGTGATAAGCAACAGGTCCAACAGATGAACTACGAGGAGCAAAAGATGTTGGTCCTGGAAGCGATAAATGAGACGAGTTGTGCCACATCAACTGAGTGACTGCTGTATTCAACTGAGAGTTTTCAAGCATTAAACAACGACACAACTGAAACAATTGGGCTACACTCGATTCTAGGCGCTGAATACCTATATAATAAAGGCAAACACAATACAGGTGATTCATTTGTGTTTAAAATCTTTTAAAACAGCTTTTCGATGCAAAATCTGAAATTGATAACAACCCAGACAATTTAGCAAAGAATTAAACCGTCTGCCCGAACTGCTCACATTCACTAGTCTATAATTTGGTTGAACACTAACTAGTGCCATATGCATCTAGTCCTTTGTTTACTATATTTTAGAAATTCTATCAGTCAAGTTTGCAATGTGGTCACCATGCCAGGTGGCTCACCATCATGATGCATTCAGAATTGTTGTTATAAGCTGGCTGGAGGGAGCAATCAGAAAGAGGCGTTGGACCTATGTTCCGCGCTACCTAGCAATTACCAGTCAGCAAGGTGTATCTACGATCTTGAATGAACGATTCTGAGTGCACCGCGTGATGGAGAGCCACCTGGCAAAGTGGCCATATTGCAAATTTCACTGATATAATTTAGTCGACAGTAAACAAAATAACTAGACGCTTGATGACGCTAGTGTCCGATCAAAGTACCTAATACAGTCGTGAGCTCGAATAACTCAGTGTTAACAACTCTGAGTGCTGCACTGGGTGACACGGGTTCGGGCCTCAGGAAGGGCAGATGAACCTTGTTGACTGACTGGTAGGTGTCAACAAGCACGAAATCTAAGTCCAAGGCTTCCTGCCGATTGCCTCCTACCACGTAACAGTAACAATTAGTCGCAAAACCTTATTTCGAATGAATTTATTTAGATTCAGTAACAAATGCGTCCACATATCTACACTAAGGGTTGATCTCAATTAACAAACAACTGATTTCTGTGCATTAAGTTTCTTGAACATCGCTTTAGACTTAAATATAAAAAAACCCGCGTTACTTAAACAACTATAGACGATACTAAAACTAGTTTAATGCGACTTTGATATAATCAAGAAATATTATTAAAATTCCTAGAAGACTCTTGAAATAAACGAGTGAGTGAGGTCAACTACATAGGTAAAAGTAGTAGATCAGGAGTAGTGAGACCGCCTGTCAGAACGTAAGAATTTAGCTACGGTTAGAATGGTTGACCCTGAGAAAAAAGCTTAGCAATTGCACTTCACGGATTAACACACAACCACACAATAGGGTGAGAGAGGGTTAAAATTATAAAAAGTAATCTATGTAGGTGGAGAGAGAGGTTGATTACTGAATCCTACCTGCTTCATTGTGTCTACACCCAACACATGCAATAGGAATGACGCAATTCAAATACCAGAGATATGCATGGAAGATATTATTACCACCAGTCAGTCAAATCAGAAGAGGATAATAAATAATCTCAAAATTCCACTTCAATTCAAGCATATCACAACATTCTAACAAGTTACTTATTATGACTTTAAAAACACTCATCATCCCATCTGATTGTAATTGATCAATAACACTCATACTAATAATTCTGAATGTACATTATCCTACGTTGTTTTTTATTCCAATATCTAATCGATTCCACAATGTATATAAATGAAGGGAAAAAGTTGTGTGATTAGTGCCTTGATATGATTATGTACAGTAATAATTTGTGGTCGAAACGTTATCAGTAAATATTACTATATAACACTGTGTGATTTATCAAAATAAAATGTTATCCACTTAGTTGAATAACTGCATTTTAAAATATTGTGCACAGTATGTACCGCTATCAAATGATTCCTAACTCAGAGATTGTGTTACCTAGACAAAACAAAAGGATTACCAAGAGCGTCAATAAGATGTAAACTGAATAGCCACCTTAACAACTGCTGATTCAAGTGAAGTGAATAAGACAGAAGGACAACAAGGCTGTATTGAATAAGTGGATCAGGCTATCATGGAAAGGTGGATGATTTTGATATGGTTGTATTCTCTGAGCTAGATAGTTAATTTGCGAAGCGCCGTATGCACTGAAGATGTCGCCTAGTAGGGCGATGGAAGCTTCGCAAATTAACTATGCAGCTCAGAGAACACAACCACATCAAAAAGTAGGTAACTATTTAATTATCTGGAACACAGAAAAAACACTTGTTGTAGTTGCCGCTTGATGAATGGACAATGAAATGGTAACAATAAGAAAAATAAATTTTGTAATAGCAGTAGGCTTTAGAAAATGCATAGCAACATACAGTGATGCTGATTATGACAACCACTCGAGCATTTTGAATAAAAATTACTCATACCAGACAATCAGCTACAATTTACGAATCCGATTCATTTCAGCTGGCTGGACAAATAAGTCACAATTCCAAAACAGTATACATGGTCCGGGGTTCGATCGCCGGCCACCGACGCACTCCTTTACCTCGCTAAACTAGTAATGAGACTGGTAAAGACGAAAGGTTGGGCATGAGTCTAGCAACCCCATCCTGTAAAAAATAATCACCACTGCTACAGAAACTTCAAGCCCTATGTTCCACTGGGGACGTGAAGGGAAAAAAATACAAGAGGAAAAAGCAACAACACACTCGGTCATTACAGTTACTTGTACTACCCTTTGACAACTTGTAAACACTGCTAATGACCTCCTGCAACAGCATAATCAATTCAAGTAACTTACGTTCATTAGCTATTGCACAAGACATATCTGACATTCGACCATCATCAAAGTCATTGCAAATCGGTGCAACAACCATATGATGACTAGCAGTTTGGCTAACAGAAGTATTTGTAGAATCACCTAAGTGATTTTGTTGTGAATTCATACGATGATTCGCCACTGGGTTTGCATTATCTTGTCTTTGAGTATTATCACCTGATCTATTCTTGTGTCGAGATGATGGAGGTGATGGACTACGTCCAACTTGAGGAAGAGATAGGGCATAAGGACTGTCACCAGTAGAAGGTGCATGCAAGACATTATCATTTGAACAATCTCCTTGAATATGTCCACTTTTTCTAGATGCTCGTTTGGCTACTGTAGACAATTGATCAGGTGTATCAGGTGAATTGATAACAACTGCAGTATTTGTTCCAGATGTTGGAAGACAAGAATCTTGAAAATAAGAAGAGATTTAATAAAATTCGGTAAATGGAATATTTAATAAAAGAATGACTGAAGTTGCTTAACAGTTGTGATTAAATCTTTGGTGAAGGAATTAGCCTAATTTTATTGTCATTATGTTAGAGTTTAGTTAGCTAAGGCTAACAGTTTGATGATATTAGACAGTTGAAGGCGATCGGCCACAGGAAGCCTTACTCGACCTAGGTTTCGTGCTGGTTGGCAATCACCAGTCAGCAAGGTGGAGTATCTGCAACTACCTTGAAGGAACTCATATTTCTTCTGAGATTCGAACCCGCTATATGAAGAAATAAGATCTTTTATTTTAACAGAGTCTGAGTGACAGGCGGAATAGTCTGCTGAAGAGTAAATAGTAGAGTAGGCGGTTCATATCATAGCTTCTTCTACATCTAGAAATGATTTGACTTTAGAATAACAAGTGGTTTTTTTCCTTGTACATTTTACTAATTTTCCGTCACTACTTCGTTAACGTATAGAAAGAGAAGTCGAAAGAGACTAGGGACAGACCAGCTTCATCACTGTAACCCCGTTGTTATTGCTTATTTAAGTGAATCACAAATGCATTGGAATTTAAGGAAAAGATTTCCACAATAGAAGTTTTTTTAAAAAGAAGTTTGACGAGTATCTAATGATGAACAAGGTGAGTTTCCGAATGATTGCAAATATTTGATTCATATATGACCGAACAATTTACCAAGCTTTACCCAATATATATGACTTGATGGGTACAGTTTCATTAACAATCAAATAATCATATCTGTGTTTCTTTTACTTTTAACCATCATATTGTTATGATTCCCAGTGGAATATTGGGCTTCAACAGCATGTCTCCATTTCTCTCCGTTCTCTACAACCCTCCTCAGCTGCCTCTAAGATTACCCATAAGCTCTGACCTCCTTTTCATATGGCTTCTTCTAATTCACTCTCAGATGCCCAACTCGTCATTTTTCACTCGAGGTATGGCATGGTGCTCGAATTAACTCAACAGTTTCGTCAGTTTGTGTTCGATCCATTCGCATTTTCTTCAGGATGTTTGTTGGGCAATAGGTTCTTGGTTGCCACACTACCAGTTCTTTCTGGCAATCTGATTTTCAGTATCAAGCCAGCAATGGCAGCTGTTGATAAAAGTCTGAAGCCTGCTGGTAATGCTTTTCGTGATGCACTATGTCTCTAAACCATAAATAGAATCATCCACTTAAAAATCCGAATGTTGTTGTCTTTTTTATGCTGAGGGCTGCCAGAAGATTTTCACTCTGATTTCAGATTAATGAATGTCTGCCTCGTCTTTCTGATATACATTACCCTTGACATCCTCATTCATGAAGCTTGAAATGATGTGGTGAGAGCTGGCTGCTAGTCAAAATTGGTGGGCAATAATCTACGTTAATGTTTATGTCCCCAATATTAGTCGTGAGAAAAATGAGAACAAAGGCTCTGCCTAAGCGGATACAGTTAATATATAGATGATCTGACAATCAAGAAACAGCCACAAAGACATGCAAGGTTAACTTTTTGTGAGAAACAACCAATCAGAGAACTGTGTTTTTCTGCTAACAATAATCTATAATATGTACATGGAAATATATAAATATGTGTTGATTTCCCTAATAAACGTTCTGTTGCTTGGCCATTGTCTTCTGTTGTTACAGTGCGAGCATATAATCTTTTGTACTGACTTTTTGTTCTACTAGATGAGATACAAGTCGAGGAGAGTTGAGAATAGAGGGGAGGGGTATTGATGGTCAGACAATATGGATTTAGACTACTTCTCGCATGATTTCAGTGACAAGCTGACTAATTAGCACACCACTTACCCTACTGACAACCTTTAATACCTTCCTCAAAAGGACGTAGTCTTTTTTCAGTAGCCAGCCCAGGAAAGACTGAGGGGGAGCAGTAAAATACAATCGGTAGGTAGGATACATGAGTTGACAAATTGTAAAAGCAGTGGTTGAGTAATTCCAGATTTTTTTAGTTTCTTAATGTAATAGCTTAGACGGAGCATCTCCTTAGAGATCTATAACCATAATATTGGCTACATTCTTATAAAGTATAATCAGCAAATAAATTGAGGGCTAATTATACTTGTGTATACACGGATTCCTCTTCATGAAAATAGTCCCAGTTAAGACCAACATTTTTATATTTTACATCACTCTGAACAATTTAAGGATATTTATTTTGTATCCAGTATCCGTTAAAGAACATGCAACTTCTTTATTTACTGCCTGTGAACCTTTTAGTCTTATATTGTTGAAGATATGCTCAGAAATACGCACGAAAATCTTTCTAGTGTATGTTTTAGTCTGTACATGTTCATTAGTAAAAATCGGACAGGAATTAGTTCACTTTGAATATCGAAAAAAACAAAATAAGTAATAGTGTTCATCAATGTGCATGTACCAATTCACCTGCTCGTGTGGAGTTAAGGTATGTCGGCCGTACCCAGTGTTTACTATCCAAAAGTATCATCGAACACTTACCCCCATGGTTTTATAAAGGATACAACCCCCCCCCTCCCGAAGCTCTATTCTGGAACACCAAGCAAACCCACAAAACAACTTCGAAGTTATCTACAGAATACATGGAAATCTTGTTAAAAGAGTACAAATCAAACTTCTTCAAACAAAGCAGAAGCAATGCCGGCAATTCACATGTTAAATCCTGAACTCTGCATACAAAAGAAGTTTTTTCAGTCATTAAATCTACACTGGGCCTCACTTGTCCTAACAGCAAATGTGTAATTTTTGTTTCGTCTTTTTCTGCTTGTTTGTTTTTTAATTGTATAAAATTTTCTTCCCCCACCCATTCTTAAATTTCTACCCTTTATCACCACTGTTGTTAACTTAACTTTCGTTGAATTTTAATTTTAGCTGAGCTCTGCTCAACCCCATCAACTAGATTACGTCACTCGACTTGCTTATTTTATCTTACTTTAGTTTTTAACCCATTAACGATGTTTATTAATGTCGAATTTACAATTCTAATGACACATCTTTGGAAATATTCCCTTTGTAATGGTACAGCTTGAGAGTGATTTTGCCGACAAGAACAACTCTCTGCTGAATGCATTTTCTTTTATATGACCATGTAAACTGACAAGAGGTCAAAGGTTATACTAAGTTAGTAGTAAAACAAATTCAAACAGATGAATGCTAAATATTTTTGCAAAATTATAAACAATTAAAGGAAAATACCCATCCAGATATGAAAATAAGAACAATAAAGTTCAACGAAGCGTCTCTTTTCGCCGGGGAAATCAATCGACGAGGTTATGAAGTTACATAGACTGAGATGGTTAGGACATGTGTTACGTATGCCTAGTCATCGCCTTCCTCGACCGACGAGCAATGTTAGCTGACATAGGGTTAGTCTGGAAAAGAGCTAGCGGCAGTCAAACAAAAACATGGCTTCACCAGTCATTGAAATCTACAACAGTTAGTTTAAGCTATCTACGTAGGAAGGTGTAGACTGACCTCCTGGTTGGGGTCCTCAGGACGGTAAAAACAAATGGCTGGAAACAATTGGTGATATGGCTCAAAATCGTTCTCAATGGCTGGCGCAGATGCATCCACTCCTTGTGACTTATGATTTCAAATGAAACTATATTCTTCTTCGTTATTACTATTCCTTTGTCTCACACCTCTGTTTACTGTCTCTATTATTCATTTTTTCTACTTTCTTCTCTTGCTTTGTGTGCTACATGAAGGGAGTGTGGCGACTTGAACTGTGGCACATTGGTGCAAAGTTCTATGTCGAAAACAGACAGACAGAGTGTGTATGTGTGTGTCTGTGTACATTAGGATTGTCAAACAAAAATAAAAATTCGGTAGTGTTAATGTTTACGTCATCAAAATGTTTCAAAATTGTGATGAATAACCAAACTGTAACTAGGTGTGTGTGTGTGTGTGTGTGAAGGTTAGTAAGTATTGACAAGGGTTGCGTAATATGAAATGGGATGTGAGTCAAGACATCTTAGTAACATCTCTTACTTAACCAACCCTTTGTTTACCCTTTCTACCTATTACATAATTTACTTTGGACACGTCTATACCAACATCCTACTTCATATTACGCAAACCTTCTCAATATTTACCAATCTTTAACCCCCCCAATTAACTTTTGTTCAATTTTAATTTTATATATATAACTTGTTATTCAAAATTTACGATTCTAATGACAAATCTCTAAAGACTACTCACTTATATATATATATATATATATATGCGATTGTACAGCTTGAGAATGACATCACCGAAAAGAATAACTCTTCGTTGAGCGCCTTTTCTTTTATATCTACTTTTTCTCTGCTTCATTAATAAAATAGAAAACAACTGATAAGACGCTGAGAAATGACAAAATAGACTTTGATTATTCTAAGTAGTCATTGGATGTTTTACCGTTTTGGATAACAGTGTTAAAACTCATTACTGCCTAGACTATTTAGGGTCAGTACTTAAAATTACCAATTCAAAGTGGCACCTTTCACTTAGATGCGTAAATAGACAGGGTTTTCGAAATTGTGATGAGCATTACTCCTTTATATACTCGAAAGGATATTCAACTAATTATTGATATAAGAACATATTGAAGAAAATGTTTAAATAAAAATAGTGAAACTAGTAATAATAACATAAATAAGAGAGAATATAAGTCATCTACAGTGGTGGCACAGTGGTTAGGACTCCCGCCGACCATGCATATGGTCCGAAGTTCGATCCCTTGCCGACGCACCCCTGATATCTATGGTCGGCCTGCAAAATTTGGGCTACCGATATCCATGCTGAAAATTCCATACTTGTACCAAAAATACAGTGTGGAATCAAACAAAACGAACAATTATACCATTTAAGGAGGGGACACCTGAGACCCTACATAGGATTCTAAATAAAACAGGAATTAGAGTGGCATTTTGACCTACAAACTCACTCAGGTAGGACAAGTACTGTAGGTTAAAGGACCCAGTTGACCCAATTAGACAAATTAATATAATTTACAAAATACCCTGCAATGACTGTGAGGTCAACTACATAGGTTAAACTAGTAGGTCAGGCGTAGTCAGATTGTCAGAACATAAGAATTTAGCTAAGGTAAGAATGGTTGACCCCGAGAAGATGAGTAATTTAGAAAAAAGCTCAGCAATTGCACTGCATGCATTAACACACAACCACACAATAGGGTGGGAGAGGGTTAAAATTCTAAAAAGTAATATAGGTAGGTGGAGAGAGAGGTTGATTACTGAATCCTACCTGGTTCATTGTGTCTACACCCAACACATGCAATAGGAGTGATTCATCACTCATACCTGAAATATGGAAAATACTACTACTAATCAAATTAAGTGAAAAATAATGGAACTATATAAATGAAGTTAGGAAGTCGTGTGAGTATCTTGATATGATTATGCTCAAAACTTCATCAGTAAACATTACTGTATAACACTGTGAGACTTTATTAAAACAAAATTTACCCATAATGGAATCAACTAATTATTCCCAACTTAAATATCTATGGAAGAAGTACAACAGTGAAACAGAAATAAGCAACTTATGTTACAACTATATTCAAAAAAATAGTTTGAAAGACAGATACTTACTCAAAGGTACAGAATCCGAGACGCTAACACCTTCACCGCTAGCCTCAGAAGCCTCTTCTGAAGAACACGAAGGAACTGGAGAAGAACCACCCCAAGTTGCTAAAGTTGTCCGATCTTGACTAGTTGCGACAGAAGCACCACTACAACTAACACGTTGCAATAATGGTTTCTGAGATCCTGAGTTTGTACCATTTGAAATATTTAATAATTCTCGATCATGTAAATTGCGTTGTTCTTCTATTTTTATCCGTGCTTCACGCATATTAGCATATAAACGCTCTGTATTGTCACTACAGTTGACTCCTGACTGCTGTAGATACAAATAAAAAAATATATAGTTGACCTACGTCGAAACACTTGAAATTAAACGTACAAATACATTTCAGTATTGCTTCCAATAAAGTGTGACCTACAGGCTGTAAAAGGTCATCTACATAGAACATATATTGTACAATCATATGTTTACTCCATAAAAGATTACCGCGCATCATTACTGATTTTCTTTTATTGCAACAGAAGTCATATGATTTGATATATATGCTAACTTAGCACTATGTATCTATACACCGATCTAATTACAGACTACTGGATTATAGTTAATAATACCAACTAAGTAATTAATTTTCTACAATTGGTTTGTAAGGATTAGTTTTGTTTTTACGAGTTGATCACGGATTGATATCAGTTAGAGAACCACTGAAAAACCAGGGAGTACTGGACAGCTGCTGTTTCATCCTAGTTTGGGAATCATTGGCAGTACGCACCCAGGACATTCCTTACAAACCAATTATAGAAAATTAATCTGATGCTCGTTAGTGACTTGCTACAGGGTGGAGTTTCTTGGAGTTCTAGTGAGAAGTCGTGACCAGTGAGTTCCATCCAAATGCACGTGTGAGGACGGATGTCCCACCGACGACAGTGGTTAGGGTCGCGCCAAATCACGAATTGGTAGAAGTTGGAATTCATGAGCTGGCCATTGATGAGTAGGGTCCTAGTGGCTAAATGGTATACGAGCTAGCTTGCCTTGTAACTGGTAGGTCCTGGGCTCGAGCCCTGGCAGTGGGTGCGTACTTCCGATGATTCTTAAACTAGGATGAAATAGCTGTCCAGTACTCCCTGCTGGTATCCAGGGGTTCTCTAACTGTTATCAATCCGTGTTCAACTCGAAAAAACCAACTAAGTCAATTCAATAATAAGAACAGTCATGTAAAGTACTGCTGTCTTTTCAAAAACACAATAACTAAATATCTGAAAACTGTAAGAATCACCGGGTCTTCAATTTCATATTTCGTTTAACAGACGGGACATAGGTAAGGCTTTCAGATATATCAGAATGCAACCATCCTCAGTAAAACATACAACTTAAGTTGTGTTAACCACAGACTCCTCCTATAAGATCTAGAAAAGCAGATTTTATAATTAGTTTCATAAAAAAGTATATGAAAACATTGGAGAGAAAATCTGAGACTATGACTGTGCACGTAAAAAACCCTATTTATTAAGTTACAATTTAATGGTGACTTGTTACGTGAGATTTTATTCCAGAGACTTTCCAGGAGTATACGAAGAACATCATATGCAGCAAACCTATGTTTGTCATTCTCTAGCCGAAGAATGATTGGCACGCAAACGAAGGGATAAGTTAGATAGTTTTGCCACATCTATGTGCAACTGCACCTGCAGTGACAATTGTGTTGGGCATACTACTAGACAGCTTAACCAACGTGTCACTACTGAACATCTCCCATCGTGGTTCGGCAAAGGACAGACAAAAACAATCCGAAGCTCCATTTTGTCATATCACATTTAGTTTGCAGTAGTCATGTGGTAGAGAAAACGAAAGCATTCAACGTAATTCATCGGATCTCACTGAATCTAACCAATAGACTTTGTATTCGTCTGCTGCACACAGCTGAGGCGATACAAGCATTCGAACTATTAAGCCTAAACTATGCATTCAAAAGAAGTTCATGCACAGCCATTATCTCTCCCTTGTTGACCTATGAAGACCTAACCAACTGATGATTTACTCCACCACTCCTTACCTATATTTTCAAACCCTCTCCTATCATCCTTTAATTTGATCACATCTTCATTAAAACATAGTTTATCTATTTCCCTTACAATCTAGCATTACTTAGTCGGTTCATTTGTTTTTCTTAGCCTTTATCGACTACTATGTCTACCTGAACATTTATTTGTTTAATCATGAATAATTTATATGCACAATCTTATTATCTTATTGACAAAACATCGTGACTGGTGGTTTACATTTGAATTTTTATTTGTAAAGTTGTGTATATTAGAGTTAATTAGGCCTGATGAGATCTAACTGAAAGCATAATATTACTTGTTTAAATGTGTTGTTTTAAATTTTACAGTTAGAACTAACATCATGTATGCTTAAAATTCGATTCAATTTACACCATGCCATAATCATTTATCACAGAAAAATATGAACTGTTAAAACCCATAGAACTTTAGTTTCTTTAGCATCTTTTATCTTCTTTTCGAGTTTATTTCAATTTTTCGTTTCCATTGGTATAATAAAACTATGACGACAGAAGAGATTTAAGACAGCTACAAACTTAATTTTTTTCTCAGAAGTTAATTGGTGGATGGTGACTAGCAGTGGAATCCAAGACAACGCGCATTTTGTCCTATTTAGGATTCGTCATTTGGATGCGCCTGCATCCCCCAGTGAGTGATGATTTTCCCACTGAGGCTCGAACCCAGTGCCTGGAATTTCAAACGCCAAAGCGTTATCCACTAGACCACCACTAGGCCATCTCCTGTGCAACGGGTCATATTAATTATTTAAATCAATTTTAGATTTTCCCGTCGATTGATTGGACTGAAGTGCTAGGTGTCAGTTTGACATGTCTGTTGGCTTCTTGTGCAGATGCTTCGACGATTTCTGGGTATGCCATTAGAAGTTAACCGGATTAAATTAAATTTTTCTTATTTAAAATTTTAGAGCACAGCCACAAGAACGAACTCGGAAGATATAACGAAAAAACAAAACAGACAAGTACCTGAAAAGTTACAGAGTCAGTTTTCGTTGATGTACCACCAGAGGATACTGATAGATTTCCTGGTGGTCCGTTAAAATGCTTGACACTTGTTGATTTATCATTGCCTTCTTTATAATTACAGGAGGATCTTGTTTTAGGAGAACTGACCTCTTGAGATATAGACTGTGAACTAGAAATGACTTGATTATTATCCGCAGTGTCTTCGGATAGATTAGTCATTTTTGGCTCACACAAACGGAAAACTGGTGCAAATGTAGCGATTTTTGCTTCAGCTTCACGAAGCAGTTCAAGTTGACCTTTTAATTGATTTAGTTCGCGTTTTTTAGCCTCTAAACTAGAAATCAATTCAGGTGGTATCCCAGTCGACGAGTTATCACTGTAAACATGAATTGGATAATTACATATTAATTAATAGCAATCGTACAATAATAAAAAAAACACAATAATAAACAAAGTAAACTTTGGAAACCGCCTTTCTAAATGTCTGAAGAAGATATTTCCAACAGCCACCCTACGCATCACATTCTCCCGCAGACAGTTAGTCCAGTCTAACACTAAGGACAAGTTACCGCTTTTGGCTACTTCATTGTGTATTTATCAATTTACTTGCTCGTGTGGAGCAAAGTATATCAGCAGTACACAACATGAAGTCCACAAACGTATTCTGAAAGACTGTCCAGCTTGGTTAACCAGCCAGAGGAGAAAAGAAGAATAACAGTATCTCTATCCTCGAACACCTTGTCATCTCAAAACATCAAGCACCCCCTCATGAACGCCTCACAGTGCTACATAGAGTCCCCCAATATAGTACAAAGGGACTTCGGATACGCCATCTGTACATAGCTGAAGCATTAGCTTTTCGAGATCTGAAACCGAACCTCTGTATTCAAAAGCGATACATACATTCTCTCGGCCTACAATGGCCAGAGTTAAGTTCTTACTATAATTTTGCTTCTTTCCTTCATTATTATTATTATTATTATTTTTAATACTTTTATTATCATTATTATTCCCATCATCCACATTTTATTACCACTCTATCACTGTTTATTAATAACATTCCTTTTTCATACAGATTTTATATAAAAACACTTTATCGCCTTTCCACTAGTTCACGAGCTTAATCGTTAGTCATTATCTCATACTTATTACGTGATGCCAACTTCTGTCTCTTTTCTAACTTACAATTAGTCATCCCTTCTTACACCTAACATTATGTAATACAACTTTTCAAGAACAAAGTTCACCAATATCTGATTGGTCTAAACATTTCTTTGTTAAATATAATTACGATTGTATAGCAGCTTATGAAAACGAACCATTCAAAAGAAAATTTTCTTCACTGTTTGTGCCTTTTTCTTATGACTCGATATGGGAATATTTCGTTCATAAAAGTAAATTGTAAAAGACACACACATAATGAAGATAATGGACTATTATTGTTACCATTCATTTTCATCCACTGGGACACTGAGATGAGTCGATTCAATTGTATGGCCAGATGTCACGACATCATCCAGAGACGCCCGACTTGCAGCTGAACCAAAATTTTAAAAAAGAAAAGAAATAAAGTTGAATTTAGTAGTACGGCAGATTATTACATTGGTTACACATTAAGTGAAACTAGTCTTTCTCAAGGAATTCGATCAATTGCTATTAGATATATTACAACTGAAAAAATTACCTTCTTTAATAGAGGCTAAGCGACCGGCTAATTCATCTCGCTGTTGCAGTAGCTTAGCAACCTCCTCTTTTTCTTGAGCTGTTCGCTGTTGTAATGCTGTAAGATACGCTTTCTGAATAGCAAATGCAGAATCCATATCAACACACGGTTCATCATTTTGTTTACTTGTACCTGTGAAAGAACGCAAAGAGTCTTGAATACAACCAATTCATCACTAATGTAATAATAGACGCTAATGCAAAAAGCGTATGATGAAATTCAAAAGCACCAGTACCCACCCAACGGGTTGAGAAAGTTTATTTGAAATAAGGTAAATGGCATACTTAGTTCTGCATTGACGTTAGTTGTAGACGGTTGATCTGCATTCACAGGTAAGTCATCCTCTTCATCACTATTAGCCAATTCATGTAGTGTGCCGTTCGCCTATCGAGAAATAGAAGGGTGGAGATTAGTCATCGAAATATTTGCAATAAAAAAAAACAAATTTTATTGAGTTATACCTCACTAACATGATTTCAAGCGTAAGATTATTCAATTGTAAGAAGCAGTGCAGTTGAAGGATGTATCAAATGAGTGACAAACTTTTCTGCATTAGAAAGGCAAAGAACAAAGGTATTAATAATAATGTTGTTGATATGCAGCATTGGGAAAATATATATCTAAAAGAATAAAACGTATCAGTAGTCAGATACACAAAACTCAAAAGTAACGGTTTTTTGACACTTGATATCAGTGTATTTTGAACTATAACGCATTATACTAGAAAGACATGAAAAGCAAACTAGTATTTTCAAGTATACGTTGAAGGGATGAACTAAATAGGTAAATACTGGGCCATTCACACAATCGAAGGAAGCAAAGTGTAAAACACCTGGACATAATATTGTTTTGTTTGGCTTCATCCTGAGTGTACTAATGAAATGCAGAGTCTTTTGAACACCTTGGGCAGTCTTCGAATGTTTAGCATGCCAATTTGCTCCTTTCAAATGTAAGATGATGCTACAGGACTCGACTACATCAACTCTTAGCTTAAAGATAAAGTGAGTGAAGTGATAGAGCATTTTGATCACTTCACTTAATTGGGAAGTTGCATCAACCAACGCCAGCGGGTTGATCTCTGACCAAATCACAGCACGGATACACAAGGTTCATTTAGTATTTGCCGGCTAATGCCATCTCTGGGTTAGATGTGATGTTTGGCTACCGATCAAATAACGTGTGTATTGTTTAGCACTTCGCTCCGTCCTCCTTTATGACTGGCTGTGAGACATGGCCATTGAAAGTGAAAGACATGAAGAGCCCGGCTGCCTGTCTTTGATCAAAGGTGACTGCGTTCTACTTCCCGTACTAGATGGTATAACAGGGTGAGAGATATTGAGGTTGGCGAGGTTGTGAAGTTTCATCGACTGAGAAGGCTAAGGTTTGGGCTACGCATGCTTAGCCTAGCCATCTCCTTCCTAGACGGGTGATGTTAGCTTATGTGAAATGGATCAGGTTGAGAAAGGACTAGCGGTAGTCAAACCAAAATATGGCTTCATCAGTCAATGAAATCCACAACAGTTAGTTTTAGTCAGTCAGCCACGTAAGGAGGTGTAGACTCCTGTCTGGTTCGGGTCCTCGGGATGGTAAGAACCAATGTGGGCTGGAGACAATTGGTGATACGGTTCGAAATCATTCTCATTGGCTGGCGCAGATGTATTCACTCTCTGTGATTTGTCATATCTAGTGAAACTCTACTGTTGTTCCATATTACTCTTTCTTTCCATCACACTTCACTTTATTACCTCTCTTTCGAACGTCTCACTACTCTCTTCTTTGGCCTTATGTGCTACATCGAGGGAGTGAGGCATCTCGAAATGCTGCATATCTGTGCAAAGTTCTATGTTGAAACCAGTCAGTCGGTTACAATATTGTTAAGGAAAACGGTTGAATTGACGAAATTTAACTGCAATAATATTTAATAGGTGTAAAAAAGGTCCAGAAAAGGTATAATATAGGCCATTAAATGGTCACACTAAAGTGGGAATATACAAAACTAAACAAACCAAACCTCACCAGTTGTTCTTCGATGGTGGTCTTGACCAGACGATGAATTGTATAGAAGCATTCTTTGGTCGAATCGAAATTGCGACTTAAGCTGCTCAAAAATTCACGAAAGCTTGACAGCTACAGAAATAAAAGAAGGATACACGATTAATTAATGAAATGACGATGCATATTTCTAGCCATATATCATGCTATATTACCCCCTGATATGTATCCACATATATGTATATATATATATATGTGTGTGTGTGTATGTTGGTCTCTCTTTCTGTTTGCTCGCTTAGTCTGTGACCATTTCACTTGTATGAACTTGTCTCCTTTAACAATGTATATTCTCCTTATATTATATTATATATAATATGAGTGTTTGTTGACAGTCCGTTGCTTGGTGACATATATCCATATATGGTGGTTGTTGACATGTCTGCTATATTTCGCTATGTATATATGGATCGATACTTCATTATAATTAGCCATTCATGTTAAGACTGTCTAATGATTGTTCACACCCTTGTCATATATATTTCGCTCACACAATTTGTGTAAACTACTTTACTTACTTACTTTGGTGTGATACCACTTATTGTGTCTCCTTGTGTTTGGAAATGTAGCTAAGTATCATCGCAAACCTAGTGGTCTTCTGATTTCCGCCTTCTTGCGTCAGGACTATTAGTTACTCGACCAGTCCATAACAATAAATTAGCGACGAGTACATAACAATTTGGCGACGGGGAAAACTACTATTAACCACTCAGCAACAGCAACATAGCACCCTCAGACTAACAAAGCTAAGATAGAAACACTATTGTGACATTTCAAACGAACAGTGATTCAAATTACCAAACTCATTAAAAGCACGACGAAGAAATAAACAAGAAGGGAATAGATAATCAAAGATATGTAAACGAACAGCTATTTAAAATCTTGATAACGGAGAGGAAATACATATGCATCACTGTGAACCATGCCCAGTCACATCGACCTTTCCATCCTTAACATATTGAAGAGTCTATAGGTCAGAAACCAACAATCAGAGACTGTAAATACCTAACTCTTCAAAAACATTTACAGCCCTGTGGATTCAGGTAAACAGCCTCGAATAGTACAATATATTTCCTTACTTCAGACACCTACAATGCTGCTTCTCGAGCTACGCTGAATGTAACCCCTGAATGATCATGGAGAACCTTGGTTAACCCCTTTTTTAATCTACTTTATTCTGATGTTACTATAACAGGGAGATTTCTTTTCTTATTAAGTGAAATAATCTAGGTCACTATTATAGGATTACCTTTGATTTCCGAAGTCATCAGTAACTTTCATTATTATGACTGGTAGTTCTTGACCATCATTGTTAGTAATATCTGAAGACAAATCGACATGTCCTTATACTTAGCCCCATGTTAGGTTCGAAGTAGTATTCCCAACTTCCGTGAGACCAGGAACCCAAATTAAGGCTAGGCTTATATTCTGAATACATGAAATACAGTTCTAAGCTAGTTGAACTGATTTTCAGTATTCTAACTGTGGTGAGAGCTGGCTGCTAGCCAAATTGGTAAACAGTAATTTACGTCAATGTTTGTGTCCCCAATACTGATCGTGAGAAAATATGAACAACGACTGATTCAACAACCAACCACACAAGACTTTGCGTAGGCGGATACAGTTAGCATATAGATGATCTGACATTCAAGAAACAGCCACAAAGAGATGAAAGATTAACTTTCAGTGAGAAACAACCACTCAAAAGACTGTGTTTGTTAGCTAACAATAATCTATAATAATCTGTATGAAAATCTTTAAATATGTGCTGATTTCCTTAATAAACGATCCGTTGCCTGGCCCTTTTCTTCTCTTGTTACATAACTAGTGATTTAGATACCGCTAAACACAAGTACACTTCCATCACAGTGAACGGCAGCTTCACAGACACTTTAGTACACTTGAACAAGTGCAACGTATTCTCTAACACCAATGGGTTTGTTTCATTTTTGACGACCTCTCTTCAACATACTGTAGACTTTAAATCATCTCACGCTTGACAGGATTTCGCTTCTCAACATTAATGAAGTCGGTAGATGTAATCCGTCTGCAGACAAATCAGTTTCAATGAGGGTTTATAGATCTACTAGCTTCCACAAATCGTCCTTCACAGGTTAGTGAATGTTCTTACCTTTGTTTTACATCTTACAATACGATACTGAATAAAAGCCATCACCAAGCTTAGATAATTGCCTTATTACTTCTTACGTGACTGAATACAGGCTTGATACTGTCACACAAAGGAGTGGCTACAATATGCTTTATAGCCTTAGTTTCTTGTGTCCATTAACACGCAGTCATCAGCATGCTCATAACAACGCAAGATCGGAGTCAGGAAGTTACTCACAAGAAAAGGGCAATCATGTATTGATTCCTATCAATAATAGATTATAGCAATATATTCTGTCTACGTCCAATGTTGGTGACTTGATCTTGACAGTCACTGTTGTACAAACATTTTCGTGTTTGGCATGGGTTTCAGGCACAAAGACGTCAGAAAGTGACAGTCATCATCGCCTGTCCCCTGGTGTGTGTGATTATCAACACACCATCCTAACATCCTTCTGATTATTTTAACCACTTTTACAATATAACTGACCCAACGTTCTACTTATCGTACATGTTATAAGCTGAAGAATTAGCAAAGCGATGCTTTTCATAGGGCAAATCGTAATACCGGGAATGAACATAAAGTGATACACACTCTAGTTTTGTGTTCGACAGAATATAACAAAAAACTTGTAAATTATACAAGATTTTTATAACCAATTAATGTGTTTGCCAACAAAATTTATGAAATTATCGTAACATAGACAGACTTCTGAAAGCAAACATCACCTGTAAAATCTGATATAAATATTTACCTGGATATCGCGTAATTCAGAAGATAGATGTGTTTCATTTCGAAGCGACTGAAAAATAAATAAAATGTTTACAGATCATCCCTTTGCAGATAATACAAATTAGAGAACTGATATTAAGATTTTTAATGATAATATAGTATTATATAACCAATAATTTAGTGCTGATCACATACAACAAATTTTCACGCTACACTAAGTTTAGCTAGCTAACTACAAATTTGGAACTTTTCAAAAGGAAACTAGTAAGCTCTCATTTTATGGCCGATATATGGATGATACTATACCTTCATTCTTTGTGATAATGGTTCTGATAGGAGTACAATAATTACTGAATTCAATGAAGTACATTCGGCTAAGAAATTCATATGCGAAGAGGAATCCCAAGACAGAATTGCCTTCCTGGATGTCCTACTTACAAGAAAACCAGACGGTAGCATAAAAAGAAATTTGCATAGAAAAAGCACTTGGACAGGATAATAAACACATTTTCACAGCTTTGATCCTAGTAAGTACAAAAGAAATTCAGTGAAGACCCTCAGCCACAAAGTAAGAGCTATATACTCAGAAGAAGTAATTGAAGATGAATCAAGCATTGTATATGATACTTTGGTCGAAAATGGTTATCCTGACAAATTTATCAAGAAACACATGACAAAGAAAGCGGGAAAGGACTACTCACTACCTGTAAACAAGAAGCCTCTTTATATACAACTACAATTTAAGGGCGATATAATTACGAGGAAGTTAAGAAAATCAGTTCAAAGAACTTTTAATGCTGGCGAACTACATGTATTATTCTCTACACGACCTACGGCGATTCCTCAACCGAAAGATGAAGTACCTAGACTACCCGCTTCAAATTGTATCTATCAATTCAACTGCGCTTGTGGGGCGAGTTATATTGGCCGTTGCTCTAGGAACTTGATTTTTCGTGTTCGCTTGAGAACATCTCCCATTATGGCTAGGTAAAGGTGTAGTTAAAACCATTAACAGTTCAATATTGGACCATCTGGTGCGAACCAGCCAGCCAGCCGCCGTGGAAGAATCCTTCTCTATCATCTACCGGGTGCCTAATAAATTGCCAAAATCATAGAAGTACCGCATGCTTCAAACATCTGAGGCTATTGCAATTCGCCTCAAACAACCAATGCACTGTGCTCAAAAGAAGCAAGTCCAGCCAGCCACTACTAATGCCCTGGCTGGCCTTCAGTAGAGACTATAAATTCATGAATTTGTAATATTATCTTTCCTAATTTTTCTGACATTCTGCTTATTGCTATGTTGATGCTATTGAGGTGTAATCTATCAGTCTTATTGATTCGATGTTATTTAAACAACATGAATATTGTTCATAACAGTAATTCATTCATTCACTATAATGTATATATAACAGTAGAGCCTGATGATGAATTTATCGAAAAGAGTACTCTTTGTTCAGTATCCATTCTTTTGAAAACTAGTATCTGTTAATGTAGCTGACATGTCACTGAAATGTACAAGGAGACTGTATAAGCCTGTCATCAACGCCAACTGCAAAACGCTACGTGTACAAAATACTTGAAAATCTTTTGATGTAAGAAAATGTAGTCATTTTTAAGCTAAAATCACCTCTTAGAAGTGAATAATTTGATTACTAAGAATGAATTCAGTAAGCTATATATGGTAAAATCTATCCACCGTATAAACTACTTATTGTCAGTGGCCTGCTTAAGTCACTGTACATCAATCTCTCTCTCTCTCTGTCTATTATTGTTGTTACAATTATCTAATCATATCCTTGGATCATAAAATGTTGCACTCTTGCATATTTCTATTTAACTTTAAACTAACTGTTGTGCGTTTCTCAAAGGTAAAATTTCGTTTCAGATTAGATTGTACTTCCAATCGAGCAATGTAGGGGGTGATAGGACACACTGCTAATTACTATTTAATTTAAAGATCTTATACGAAAGGTATGTATACCACAATAGATTCTGCATTCTGTGTAAGCATATTGTGGAGAGTAAAGGTGTGTCATTGGTTCAGCTATAGAATATTCGTCAACCATGGACGTGGTCCCGGGTTCGACCACCGGCCAGCGCACAATTTACATCTTCGTTTTTTGGCTATAAGCCCGACAAAAAGGGAAGGTCAGCATCCCCCACAACGTAAAAGAAAGCACTGCTACTGGAACTTCAAAGTTCTAGCTTGAGGCCCTATGTCTCACTCGGAACGCAAAGGAATAAAATGGAAAAAAATAATGAAACATAGCTGATATTTAAAACAATCGGTTTCCTTTATGAATTTAGACAAAGCAATAGTTAGACGTAATTTGTCTGAATCGTGTGTGTAGTGTATTTGCGCAACACATTTCGAACAATTTCATCCATCACACACGGACTTGTCATAGGAATGTATATATGAAATTAATAAAGAGTTAAGGGGTCAGAGAAAGTACTTAGGTAAAGTTAAAAGGATATACTGAAGGTCAATATAACAATGAAGATCACTACATCAAATAACAGAGGTAATAGTACATCTACCATGGCTGGTATTAAAACAAAGTTTACCGAGGAAGGTTTAGTTTGATGATGAATTGTTGCTTTGAACGGATAGAGGTGGTTTAAACTTCCTAATTGCCAGCTAGGGCTTCCACAAACTTTAGGTTACAATCCAAACACGTTTTACAGATAGGTTTAAAAGATGTGTAAATGTCAACTTTATGTCCTGCTTGTATAATACGTTTCGCAACAGATGAGCTAGGTCTCCCGTTCTCACTATTAATGGGTTCTGGGGACTCAGTTTGCTTCGGGAGCCCTCACTTGCAGAGACCAATTATTCCTCCCTGCTTATGTGTGGCCACACATGCATTCAAATTGGTAAATACAGTGGGATGTGACATCATTTTTCGCATGTTCAAAGGCCTTAGATGGCTATATCGGCTTTACATTCTCAATTATTATGATATTAGCTGCATAAAAGTCTTTTTAACAGCAGCGTTCAGTCTTTGTCTAGTTATCAAGCTGCTATAATGCCCCATATAGGTTAGGTTGATGTACATGTCTTTCTTAGGGGCAAGTTGGAGAGTGGGTCTTGGTGTTCTGACTACTTTATATCTCCTGATGAACTTGTCTGGATAATTATTATCAACCAGAGTTTGTGTCAACTTTCTTTCTTCCTCATCAAGTGTGTCTATCTTCAGGGCACATTCGTTGGATTCTACTGAAGAAGCACCTTACTAAGGCTCCTTTGTACCGAACAGAGCAGAAACTGCGGTAATTAAGACATTGTCCTATCCAAGTAGGTTTTCTATAAATAGATCCTTTTTATTGACCCATCAAGCCATCGACTAAGCAATATGTCAAGGAAAGATAAACTATTATCTTCGTCTTCTACAGATGTAAGCCGATATTGTCTGTCTGTCTGTCTGTTTTCGACATAGAACTTTGCACAAATGTGCGGAAGTTCAAGTCGCCACATTCCGTGTAGCACGCGAAGCAAGAGAAGAAAGTACAAGAAAAGCATAATAGAAACAGTGAGCAGAGGTGTGAGACAAAGGAGTAATAAAGAAATACAAAACAGTTTCATTGAAGATCATAAGTCACAGGGAGTGGATGCATCTGCGCCACTGAGAACGATTTTGAGCCATGTCACCAATTGTTTCCAACCATAGATTTTTACCGTCCCGAGGACCCCAGCCTGGAAGTCTACACCTTCCTACGTGGCTTAGACCAACTGTTGTGGATTTCATTGACTGATGCCAAGTTTTTGTTTGACCGCCGCTAGCTTTTTTCCAGCCTGACCCTATATCCGCTAACATAGCTCGTCGAGGGAGGCGATGACTTGGCATACGTAACACATGTCCTAACCATCTCAGTCGATGTAGCTTCACGACTTCGTCGATTGATTTCCCCTGTTTACCTAGAACTCTACGCCTAACCTCCATGTTGCTCACCTTATTATGCCACTTTACACGGGAAATAGAACGCAGGCACCTATGATCAAAGACAGCTAGTCTTTTCATGTCTTCCACTCTCAGTGGCCAGGTCTCACAACCATAAAGGAGGACGGAGCGGACTGATGAGCAGTACACCCGCCCTTTGGTCGATAGTCGAACATCTCGTCTACGCCAGAGTCGGCGTAAACTAACAAATGCGAAACGAGCCCCTTGTATTCGTGCTGAGATTTCGTCAGAGATCAGCCCGTTGGGGCTGATGGTACTTCCCAAATAAGTGAAGCGGTCAACGTGCTCTACCACTTCACTTCCTATTTTTAAACTAGGCGTCGATGTAGTCCAGTCCTGTAACATCATCTTGCATTTGGCGGGAGCGAATCGCATGCCAAACATTCGTAGATTGCTGTTCAAGGTGTTTAGAAGACTCTGCATTTTGTCAGCGTCTTCGCCTAGAAGGACTATATCGTCTGCATATTCCAAGTCAACGAGATTATTCCCAGGTAGCAAGTCAATCCCTGAATCGCTGAAGTCACCTAGGGTTAAGTCCATTAACACATCTATGATGAAGTTGAATAGAAAAGGAGATAATGGGCATCCTTGACGGACACCACTGGTCGTCATCAGTTCAGATGACAGCTCGCCGTAAGCCCTCACCTGGCTGTATGAGTACGAATAGAGTGCCTTAATCAGTGCAATATATTTTCTTGGAATTCCCTTTACAGCCAAGCATCTCCAGAGAACTTCCCGATCGACAGAGTCGAATGCTGCCTTTAGGTCAAGAAATATAATGACTGTTGGACGCCGGTAGGAATGCCTATGTTCTAGAATCTGTCGGAGGGTGAAGATATGATCAATACACCCTCTTCCTGGTCTAAAGCCTGCCTGGCTCTCTCGTGTTTGTGCTTCCCGAGCACCACTCAGTCTACGCATGATTATTGAGCCTAAGACTTTAGATACTATATTAGTCAAGCTAATCCCTCTGTGATTATCACAGGAAGACTTGTCTCCCTTCTTGTATATGGGGATAATCAGTGACTTACACCAACCCGATGGGACTTCTTCTGATTCCCAAACGCTGCCTAGTACCTCAGTTAATCCGGACAGTAAGCTGTCTCCACCGTACTTAAATACCTCTGGCGTCATTCCATCAGGTCCCGCTGCTTTGCCTAGTTTCAGATTGGTGACAGCTTTAGTAACCTCAGTTAGTGACGGAGGACCTGTGTCTATATCCCATTCAGGGAGGTGTTGGATGCTCGGAAGGTTGAGCGTGGCTGTGGGCAAATTAAACTGCTCCTCATAATGCTCTTTCCAACGATCCAGTCGTCTATCCTGGGAGCTAATTATAGTGCCATTTTTTTCCGAGATTGTCTCACTAATGATTTGTCTTCTCCCACCCGTTTCCCTGATGAGTCCAAAGAGTTGCCTGGTGTTGCCTATCCTCAAAGCTTTCTCCATCTCTTTGGCTTTTGTCGCCCACCACTGTTCACGGTCCTTGCGGAGACTTTTCGTAAGTTTCCTCTTGTGCAGCTTTCGCTCCTCATTGAATTCGGAGCTCGCCGGAATAAGTCTTCTAGCATCTATCAGTTCGGATGAGGCGGTGGAGATCCAGTGGTTTTTACTCACCTTTGGGTTTACCTTATTCACAGCTTTTACAGCTGTATCTATGGCTGCCTGGATATTTTTCCAAGCTTCTTCAGGGTGAGCACAGCTGTCGAACACAGATATGTGTTTAGCTAGTTCTTCCTGAAATACGGATTTAGTTTCCTGATCGAGCTGGGGACGTGATGGTTTTACCGCCAGCTGTTTCCTACGTCCGTTCAGTCGTAAGCACACCCGAGCGCGGACCAGTGCATGGTCGGTATCTACGCACGTGTTCCAGAAGGAGCGACAATCTCCTACCGACCCACGCCAACGATAGCTTATTGCTATGTGGTCTATTTGTGTCCAGCGTTGGTTTGATGAAGGGGGTCTCCAAGTCAAACAGTGTCTCTCCTTGTGTTTAAAGTTAGTGCTTACAAGAAACAAATGATTATCAGAGCAGAACTGTAGGAGACGGTCACCGTTGTCGGTTCGCTGGCACGGAGCTCCATAGGTGCCACCGACATCCTTCTCAGATTGACACAATTTCCCTACTTGAGCGTTAAAGTCACCAGCTAGAACGACTATGTCTGAGCGTTTAGCCTTTCGCACCAAACTAGACAGCTTTTGGTAGAACTCATCCTTCGTTTCATCTGAACTGCAGTCAGTGGGGGCGTAGGCGGAGATTACGAAAAGGCATCGGCGAGTAGTGCAGTCCTTCCTCCTTCTTACTGATCCGTTCAGGCCGATATTATTATTAGTAGTATTATAACTGTGATTGCAAACCTGAATTTTTCATGTAAAAAGAAAATAGGAAGTGGAATCAAAGTATCAAGGCTAACAATTATTGTAAACAACATCACTTACATCATAGCTTTCTTTCAAGGAATTAAAACTGATCTGAAGTTCAGTAAATCTCTTCGAAATATCCAAAAGTAATTTTGTTGATTCATTGAAATGCTGATCAAGGGAATATATAATCAATGAAAGAAGAAAATAAATTACATTCGAATGTCTGTTAATAATAACATCATCATCAACATCGTCATCTTAAAACGAGGAAAATATGCCCTACTTAATAGAAATATGTAACTATGAAAGCAGTCAATGCATTTGAAGCAGGAAAAAAACTGTTACCTTAAACATGATGTTTACAATAAAAGCAACAACATATAAGAAACTAGTTTAAATAAAGAGAAAGCCGAATTTACTTGTATTCATGTTACTAGAAGTTGTTATGTGTTTTAAATGCAGTTAGGAAATTAAATACACTAAAAAAATCCATTTCGCACCGAAACGATTTATAACTGAAATAAACAATACTAGACACATCACACTAGTTACTAGTGTCCAATCAAAAATATCCAATACAGTCCTACAGGAGGTCAATCGCGAGCCCGAATAGCTCAGTGGCTGGTAACGTCTCTGACTGCAGCACCCGGGTAACAAGGGTTCAAATCTCAGAAGGGACATGAGTTCCTTCAAGGTAGTTGCAGATACGCCACCTTGCTAACTGGTGAGTGCCAACTAGCATGAAACCTAGATCGAAGGGTTCCTGTGCCCGACTGCCTCCAACTAGGTGGCACAGTGGTTAGGATGCTCGCCGACCGTGCACATGGTCCGGGGTTTGATTCCCGGCCATGGACGCACTCCTTTACCTCTCTAAGCCAGAAATAATGCTGGTAAAGAGGTAAGGTTGGGCATGAAGCTAGCAACCCCATCCTGTAAAAATAAACCCTGCTACAGAAACCTCAAGCCACTAGCTTGAGGCCCTATGTTCCACTGGGAACGTGAAGGAAAAAAAATCTAACATCATCAAATCAATGTGCACCGTGATGGTGAGCTACCTAGAATGGTGTCCACATTGGAAAACCTGATTCATAGAATTCAGTATGCACCAAAGAAAGGACTAGACACATATCACACTAGTTACTGACTAGTGTCCAATCAAAATACTACACTACACATAGTTTGTGCAGTTATATTGAGGCACTTTCAATAAGTGGAAAAAGTATACCATTGGCGTACAAAGAAACAATTGGGAGGTCTAACTGAATACTAGAAAAGATCAACAGTTAGTCTAGCTGAAATGAACCTATAAGACAAGAAAACTCGAAGAAAACTATATTAACTTTACACTCCTCACGAGAAGTACAGCGCACCAAATTCGTAGTGAATACCTTGAGTGAATACCTAGAGACCTTCACTAATGTTAATTAATCGACCCTGAGACACCTCCAATAAACAAATTTTACCTACATAAAATGAATGGATTTGGATATTACGAATTCAAATCAAAATTCTTTTTGTCAATAAAAGCCTATTCCAGGAGAGTACATCTTCTTGAATGCAATATACAAACATGAATTCATCTAACTATACAATATATAAAGCATTAAAGAGATTTTCAAATGTACCTCACTTTTCGAATGCTACAATAACTTAAGCTTCAGTACAGACAGAACTTACCGCTTTTTTCGTTATCACCACAAGTCGTTTTACCATTCCATTAAATTTTTCTGAATCTTCAATTAATCCCTGGAGTTCTGATAATTGTGCCTAAATAATACAATAAGAAAAAGAATACAAACAAAATCGTTATATAGCCAGTGAGATACAAACGAATGCTGGTGAAAACGCTTTTCTCTAGAACGAAGAGAATATGTTCACCAAACAAACTAGACAGTGAACTAATACTTCTTGAAAGAAAATGGTTACCCACAAAGTTTCATTAACAAATATGGCAAGAATGAACTCAAGAAGCTTGATACAGCTACAGTCAGTAAGAAGCCTATTTTCATCAGACTCGACTACAAGGGTGACGACATTATGAGAATGGTAAATAAAAAATTAAGCACAGCCCTGTCTAGGACGTATTCTACAGCGTTATTAATCTCTCTATCCCGAACAACCTCTTCATTGGTGCAGTCAAAGATTGACAGGTACCTCTCACATGTTACCTCCAACTGTATATACCAATTCACAGGTATCTGTGGGAGTGGTTATATTGAAAGAACATGTACCAAGGAGCCTCCGGTTAAAGGAACCAAATTGTTTAAGCTCTTCAATCTTCAAACACCTGATTGACATAGGACGCCGAGTAGATGTGCTGGAATCATTCAAAATAATTAACAGACAAAGTACCTCGTCTTCTCAGAATTGCTGAAGATATATAGCAATAAAACGATTGAAACCTGATTTATGTGTCCAAAAAGAATCCGTTGCTGGACTTCAATTACCCTGGTGACTCACCTCTTAGTAACTCTTTGTTTTCTAATTTTGTTAGCTTATCTTTTCACTCCACCCCCTCCCTTTATTTTTAGCTTGACTCTTTAAAAAGATCATTTTTCTTGATCTTCTGAGTTCTGCTCACTGTATTACATCATCAACTTCTCATCTGACCTCATGTGCACCGAAACTGTAAAATTTTAATCTTCTCTTATCTAATTACGTAACTATTGCTAATTTTCAACTACTAATAAATTTTTTCAAGACACTTCTCTCTACCAAGATATACACATATATATCGCAACACTTTAGACACCCTGTAAATCTCAACACCTTATTTTACTATAACGCTCTGACAGTATGCTTGCTAATGGACAAAGGTTTGTTAAAATTGTACACTTTTTTATTTTTATTTAAAAATTCAGGTTGCATGCAGCTGATGAGAGCCGACGAAATAAAATGGATCCAGATTATTCTGCGCGCCAATGTTTCTTCTTTTTTTGTTCAAATTTATAAAAGGGAATCATTGTATTAAAAAATAAAACACTGACCTACAGACAGATAGAATGAATTATATATACACTAGTAGAAATATGATTTGCTTTGAAAATGCCACCCACCTCATACTGATCCGTCGAGTTATCACGTTCTAAAACTCGCGATGAATTAGTATTCAAAAAATCACAAATTTCAAGAGTTGGTCGATTATCATTACTTTGAACAGTGGATTCCAGTTCTTGTTTAGATTCTGGATTGTGAAAAGAGTCATTGTTATCAGGTGTACACTGGCTATCCTCTTGGGAGGTCTCGGGTTTATCATGGCATAATAAGGATTCAAACTTTGAAAGCATTGCTGATGCAGACTCTTGAAATGCTACATTAGTTGGCGTTGCAGTATTACAAGAGCCGCTTGCCTCCATAGTTGAACAATTGGATTCCTAAACAAAATAATAATAACAGTTTTACTCATTCAAAATAGATACAAACGCTTTTAATGTGATTTTAAGAGGCTTTGTTATCCTTACTATTTTATGTGGATGTATACGGGTGGTAACTGCGTATCACTTTTGCATAAAAAAAGTAATCAACTTTACTTGAGTGCATATTTAAGACTGTGGCGTGTGCTATACAGATGCAAATTGATAGGAAGCGGCCAAAAATTGAAATCAACATTTTAAGATGATGGCTGCAAGGGTAGAAGTGTTTATTGCTCAAAACACAGAATCAGTTTGCGTTGTGGTCTGGAAATAATCTTATTGGACAGTTCTTCGTCCCTTTGTTTAGCTTTAGGTCAATCGATAACCAATCAGAACCGCCTATTGCCCATTGAGCTAGCCGATTCTTAATGTGGTTGAATATGTTTAAATATGATGCATTTTTCCTTAATAAAAAATTCACTTAACACTTCTCTAGTCTTCTGCCATTTCATGACAATATACTCAAGCTGTAGCCCTCTGGCATAAACTATCGAGCCAAATATTAACTTTATAATTCATTGTATGAGCTATTTTGAGTCTATAACATAATTTACACAAAAAGTTAAAGACGTAAAAGACAAAAGAAGGAAGTGTAGCAGATGCTTATTCAAACAGATTGTGTTTCAGCTAAGCCTTTGATATACAGATATAACCTAATTCTAATGTACTGCTTACTTAGTTTTTATATCAAACTGATATAACGAATTCTAAACGAAGAGTTCTACTTATTATTAACTAGGCTTTTGATGATTAAGTTCAGTGGAGTCTGCGAAAATAATCTTCTCACCACACTACACTCCAAAACTCATTTCAGAATTCCACACTTGTTAATCAATCCATCAATTAATAGAAATATCTAAAGTAAATTAACCTCTTTTTCTGTTCCTTGCGTTCTAATTAGGACATAGGGCTTCAAGCTATAAAAGTTAAGTGCCAGTGCTGTTTCTAGGGGCTACGGCTGCTAGACATACACCCAACTTCCCCTCTTTTCTGAGCTTACTGACTGACTGGTTTCAATATAAAACTTTGCATAGATGTGCAGCATTTCGAGTTGCACACAAACCCTCCGTGTAACACACAAAACAAGAGAAGAGAGTAAACAGAGATTCAAAAGTGAGATAATAAACACAAATGTGAGGGAAAAGGAAGAGTAACATGAAAGAACAGTAGAGTTTTATTGCATATGATCAATCACAAAGAGTGAATGCATCTGCGCCAGCCATTGAGAACGGTTTTGAGCCATACCATCAATTGTCTCCAACCGACAATGGTTCTTACCATCCAGAGGATCCCAACCAGACAGCAGTCTACACCTCCCTACGTGGCTGGCTGGCTAAAACTAACCGTTATGGATTTCATTGACAGATGACGTCATGTTTTGGTCTGACCACCACTAGCTTGCTCTTTTCCAACCTGCTCCTATTTCAGTTAAAATTATCCGTCGAGGGCTTACTACCGGCTAGGAGGTTTACGAGTGAGTCGGTTGAGAATCGAATCTCACCCTCCCACATAGCTGGTGAATATTCTACAATTACATTAAAAATAACGTTTTTTTATTGGAATCTACTCTTGAGTACCCTATTGAAAACTAGAACAATGAATACCAGAAAATTAGATTCTTGGTGTTTAATCTAGATAGAGGTAAATCGATTTTGAATCATCAGTTTGCACATTCTAGTTGCAGTGAAAACAGCATCAGCCTCTTAGATTTTGAAGTAGGATGTAAGACAAGTAGTATTTCATAGAAACACTACTTCACAACAATTGAATGAGAAAAAACACAGATTACGCCTACAGGGATACAGACACTAGCACTTCGGCAAATAACCTGAACAACGATCTACAGTCTTCCCACCTCAAAATGGTCGTATGGATGCCCATTACTTTCCTTCAGAAAGTCAGCCTCTGGACCCTGAGAACTCTAGTTCCAAAATATCAGTGTTGGAACTTGTTTGAATTGCTAGCGTCTAAGAATATGTGACTTGCGGAGTTCTCTAAGATTAAATTTCAAACCTAAGACATTTTGCTTCAGTTAGATGTCCGTGCAATATTTTACACACAATATGCAGTGTTAATTCAATGACTTCACGTCCTCTTGAATAATTGTGTTGTGTTCTACAAACTGTGCACACAAAAGTCAATATGCTTATTTTTTATCACAGCTTGATTCCACACCGTATTTTTGGTACAAGTATGGAATTTTCAGCATGGATATCGGTAGCCCAAATTTCGCAGACCGCCCATAGATATCAGGTGTGCATCGGCGTGGGCTCGAACCCCGGACCATGTGCATGGTTGGCGAGAGTCCCAACCACTGTGCCACCGACGCACACAATGCGGTTGTTGTAACATGAACTGGTTTGTTATTATTTATGTTACCTTTACATTTTTCATCTTACCAAACTATTGGTAATTTTTGAAAATTCTTAGTTTATCTGCAGTCCTTTGCAATGCATTCGCACTGTCTATGGTGTGTGAACATTTCGTTTTACTAAAAAATACGGTCATAATCCATTTCGTTTGAGGGAATTCAGGGATGCCAACTGAATGTTAGTAGAAATGTAAAATAGGAATTAGGAGGTACTTGTTACATTATTTATTCATATAGTTTTTGTTTTTACTAAAAGGCAGTGTATACGAAAAGCAGAAATCTAACGAGTACACTAAGCTTTTAGAAATACTCTTCATACTATACTTTCAAAATATAAAATAACGATGAACTAAAAAGTAGTGACGATATGGTATACTTGATTGACAGATTTCGACCAACGCAAGACTAAACTTGGTGAGAGAATCACCACAATAAATGAAAGACCCAACACACAGGTGATTCGGCAGCCTTTTCGGAGATCTCACTTACCACAACAGCAATATTGTAAGCACGTACATAAAATAAAATATTGAAAAAAAAATCAAAGGCAAGCACAAAAGAAAGTTGTATACGATTGCACAGGTGTATTAAGTGGAATCACAGAAAATCCTTGGTTGAATTAATTATGTCTTTTTTATATGGCATTATTTGATGGGCTATAATGTAAAAGAAGCTTAAAGTCCTAAGCGATTTTTCATGCTGCTTCAACAAGGAGTATCGGTCCTTAAGAGCAAGTCTGCGACATCACACCGCATCATCCACGGTGGATTTGCCTCAAGACATCAATAAGTCTTGTAAACCTGCAGAGTGATTTCAATTAAGAAAGGTTTATGAGAAGCAGGATGCCGATGTCAATCTTATACCTAAGCACAATCATTTATCTCTTGTGTTAGGATATTTTAAAAATAACTAGTTTTGCTGAGTAGTTGAAACTTGTCAGGTGTGTTAAGTGGAAATAAGAAAACAATACTGCAATCCAACTAAGCCAGGTGAGTAGAAACAAGATTATGTATGAAAACTGATATACTTTGACCATCCAGAAGTTCGCGAAGCTGTATGAGAAATATGAAAGTATTAATCAGTAATCACGTCAACCCACTGCAAACCTTTCAGAATAACTACTAAAAATTCAAAGATGAAAACAACAACTAAAGATAATTACTAATCTGACATCTCCCTCTCAGATACCGCATGCAGTGACTTGTCCATCTGTTTATCAGTAGTCAGGAGAAGCTTCCTATCAAATTTTGACCGAAAATGGAAGGCTATTTTGTTCCATTTTGATAAATGGGTTTGAATTAAAGCAGAAACGTAACAAGATTACAGTTATAGCTTTGGAAGATACAAACGTGCTAGGTAGTCCTGGAAGTGCCATTACTTCCTGAGATTTGCATTGCTAAACAATTACTGTTATCCTAAGCGTACAGAAGTAATTTTCCATCAATGGGATTATTTGAAAGCGTCACAATAACATTTATCCAATACTACAAAACATTATTACTAAAGCTAAGTATTTCACACTGCCGTTATGCCTACTGGATTGTTGTCTAATTCAGACTCATTATTATTCACCAGTGTAGAGGAGGACAATTAGTTGATGTTCATTTTCTTTATTTTAAATCGCAGGTCTGAGTTTGAGACTCATTTTATGAACTCTACCACCGAACCCTAAGCAATATTAGTCTCACAACATACGGAACGTAAATGGATACTATAATTTAGCTTGAAAACTAGGAGGCAATACATTCCCTAGTTCGAAATTCGCCTCCATGTGACTTTACGTATACGTAGGCGAAATCAGTTGATAAACCTACAATATCTAGGGATACCTGAATATCTCTTGCCAAATGGTCAAGAAGATATTTGATTCTATCTTGTTGTTCTTTAAGTGCTCGCAACTTTAACTTTGCATCTTTACCCTAAATTAATAAATATTATACTAAAATGCAACAAACCTCATTTTTCTTCTTTTGAAACTGATAGTCTTCCAGTCTTTTAATTAGATCTTCAAAACGAGCGATGAATACATCATTTTTCTGAACAAATAACTTTAATTCTCAAATACCTTTGTGGTTGGAAGTGAACGAAGAACATTCAACATCAACTTTCCTTCAGCAATACTTGATTGTACTTCTTCCAGTCGACATCTAAATCCATTAGCATTATCGGTCATTTTTTGTCTGTAGTTTTAGACTAAGAGAGCTAGGGATCTCAAAGAATTATATTGTTAACCTGTAAGCAAGAAATATGAATTATTATTGGTCAAAATAAAAACACGTGTATCAAACCAAAGTAAGATAATATCACACGTTAAAAAGAAGCACATGAGCTTGAAGACACTAACACCGCCATGTGCAGGGGGATTGCATCAACCTAGTATCTGCACACGGTCTGAATATATGACTTCAACATGAATATAAGTGGACACCAATTCATGATCAGGTAGGAAAGAAATTATTTGGAAATATGTAACTGTAGGGACTCTACAGATATGGGACTGGAAATCGTTGATGCGGGATCCATAAACACAATAACCGATAGATTCTTCGAAAACATACACTATTCGGAAAATTAAAGTGGATCACTATGATTCACCAGTATTAGTGTATGATTAGAACTCACGAGGTGTGCAACATTGATGGCAGTGAAATTGAAACCAAGTCAGAAATTAAATACCTAGGCGTCATTCTATCTGCTGATCTTTCCTGGTCGTCTCATATCTTGATGATTTCTAAGAAAATATTCCGTCTTACCTTCTACATCAAGAAGTTAAGACATTGTGGAATAACCCAACTCTTGCTCCTACAATTTGTTAACTCCCGTATTCTGCTTATTATTCTCTATTGTTCCCCCTTAGTCTTTCCTGGGCTACTGAAGAAAGACTATAACTTATTACGCAGGATGTTAAAGGTTGTCAGTAGGGTAAGCTACGTGCCACTTAACCAGCTTGTTAATATTCTGGTTGACAGGCACATGGACTCGTGAAAAATGGGCAAAATCCATTTTATCTAACTCACAACACCCTCTAAATTCACAACTCTCCCCTTGTATCTCTTCAGGCAAAACCAGAAGCCTATATAGGAAACTATATGCCCGCACTAGTAAGTACAAAAACTCAACTATACCCTACTTAGCTCGTGTTCTGTGCGATAAAGAAAGCATTAGGCGTGAAACCTTTAACTTATTAAATAGTCAGTAGAACAACTGGATCTCGTCTTTCCAACTCATATCATATATAGGTACAACGTTTTTTCTTTCTTTTCCTTTTCTCTCTCTCTCTCTTTTTCTGTTACGTGCAGCTTTATTTCTTTCTTCTGCTTACACCAGTATATATGCTAGAACCTACTTTTCTAGCACCTAACAATGTTTAATTTTGGCTTTGCTACAGACATACTAATATTTTGTTATCAAAACTAACTGAGATTACCCTTAATCTATGTAGAATTTTATTTTATTGTTAATTTACTAACTGGATGCAATACTGTAGTAAAATGCTGAGAATTCCATTCTGTATCGTAAGTACTGTTTTGGAATAAAGCTATTATCATTTATTCATTCATTCAAATGATATAAAATAATTACGTCTTGACCATTTTTTTTGCAGAAATTATCATCAACAATGGCACTTGACTATATACTAGGGTAACCCAAGTCTTAAAAAATGTCCTCGAGGAATACAAAAGTAACAGTGACATTTTAGGCGGAAATTACACAGCAAACAAAAATTGAGATGAGCGAAGTATACTCATTTATATGCTCCATGTTCGATCCTCCACAAACATACCAGTAATACCATAATTGGTTTATTCAAGCAAAACCTAATATTTTGTCAAGAATAGTTGTTAACAATAATGAGTATGCGACTGAGTTTTAACTGCTGCCCTGTTAACTTACGTCGCATAATAATCGGAGCTTTTCAAATATAACGCAGGCCGAATTGCAGTTACGTAAGTGCAAGCATGTAGAGTCCTCAAAAATAAACTTATCCAAATTTTACTACTATGTAAGAAATGAACATATTGTACACTACTTTGTTTTAACCATAAACTCTGTACTTTGAACCTTACCTCGGGTTTTGAAAAAATGTATAGTTCTGCCTGCGACTCTCCGTCTTCTCCACCATCTCAACTGCCGTCGATCAATTTTAATCACCTGCTTTCTATCTCAAATTTTTGCAGGAGCACCGTAGTTTCTTCCTACGTACTTTGGTCGACCTCCGGCAACGTCAACATTGGAGAATTAGTACTGGAGCAGTCTTCCCGCAGCACCTGGAGTCTATTACGTTTATTGTGGACTTTGGATTCTTGTAAACCCAAGTAACCAAACTTTAGTACATTCTTCCCGTAACTAAACTGATTTGGTACTTTATTTTCTATTTGAATTTGGGTAACTAAGCTAACAGAGTAAAAGGTCCACCACAATAAGCAGCTTATTACCACATTGGGAACATGGATGTCAATTAAGGAGTACCTTTATGGCATATTCTATACCTGAGGAAACAGATGAACGGTAGATATAATAAACTGCCCGTTGCCCGATTGATGGATGCTGTTTTGACATTGTGGTCAGACTTCGGTATCGCAACGACTCAACGAGCTACACTGGCTAAAACGAATGTTTCTGCAGGTCATATTATGTCATATAGGTCGTTTGGATAGCGATCGGACCTAGTTTACCATTACAGCGTAAGTCGCTTACACTATTTTGACGATCTGAGAACGGTTATACTGCTGATGAGTAGGGGTGCGACAGCAGTAAGGCGGTCCTGTCAGACAACCATCTATGCTGCCTTTCTGCTCTGATTTAAGGTGACTTGTAACAGGCAGTAAGTTTTTTGTAAGGATACAATTATAAAACTCACTATGAACAAGATGAGATTGGTCTCAAACAGTTGTCCCCTGGGTTCTGTGAAACTACTGCTCTTTTCTGATTCAAGTATTTCAAGAAATCGACTCCACAACGCCGACGACCGGCAAATAATAACTGCCTACATATAAGCAAAGCCTTCCTAGTCATGTTTTCATCTGCTTACTCTCTTGTCACTGTTAATAATATTCCACGGGTAAATTCAGTACCTCCTAACTCAACAACCACAAAGTATTCATTAACTTCAGTAAGACATTTAAATGTCTCACTTGGGAGTATTGAGAAATGTTTCAGATATCAGTAGAGGTTTAGACAAGAACAGTTTAAACAACAATAGTGTGATGAGTTAAGAAAAAAGAGGAAGGACATAGTACCATTTGCATGGAAACAGATTAGTTGAACCACTCAGCCGTTTATGTCCTCATGTTTCAGCTTAATATGTATTAAGTAACTACACTGTCACTCACAGCTAATGTGGTCTATAAGGCTATTAGTGATAATGAATGTAGATTAAGGTCCAAAATGATTCACAAATAATGGATGCTGAAAATTGGTGATCACTACTAGTAGTCAGCAGCGACCAATAGATCTACCTCATTATTGGACAAATGTATAATCAGAGACTGATGCTAAGTAACATCAAGCTACAGATATTGGTTACAAGACAGTGTTTCACTCCGGTAAAACTGTAGCTAGATGCCTTTGCGACCATTGCTTTTAGGTACTTCCATGAGCATATGCATGAAGAACTATACTCTATCAGCTTATGAATCCATAATGTATGCTTATCTACAGCAACAAAGCAAGAATAAGGAATTCCTTCAGTGGATAGTTAACAATGTGTAAATATGACATTCTTCCCGCTGGCATGGAAAGCAGTTGCTTGATTCCTGTAATCATTCAAGGTCGGAGAAATTTTTTTGAACCTGGGATATGTGAGTAAAAACGAGGGTAGTTTGCAGTCGGAAAAGCGAGCTGTTTGCAGGTGTAACACGGTAAAAGTGGGAAAAAGTGGGTAGCGTCCATTGAAAAAGTGGGACAATGAAATTTTTCAGGACGTGGGATAATAAGGAAAAAGTAATGAATACGGGTAAGGTGGTTCGAGTCTGTAGCATTTAAATCCAGTTTTTCTCATGCCCTTGCCAACCAAAATTATAATTTAACCTAAGTTTTGCCTAAACTGCCCAGATGCATTCTCCGACTGGTCAGCTGGGTTGTTGAAAACATACTACTGTACTGACGTATCTTAACACAAGAAAACTGCCCCTACTGCTGACACTAGAATCTACGGTCTTGGAGCTATTGATGGACAGAATTTCCTAGTAGAAATACTACAATTTATTAGTGTGGTATTTCTGCACAGTTTCAAGGTCACTTATGAACGTGAGCATGGAATACTACGACTCGAATGGAATGAAGAATCACGCTGCATGCAAGTCACCTGAATCAATAAGCTCCTGGAATAAACTAGTTATGTTCTTCAGTAACAGGTATTTTCAATTCACAACAGAAAGTCAATTTATTAACACAAACCCACCAAACATGGTAACTAATCACTCACTTTTTAAACTAAGCGCTAGATGTGAATCTAAATTTCCAATATCCAATATCGTTTTTACGAGCTAGTATAAACCAATTTGATTTCTTTGTGCTCGCTTCTTGATTGTTAGGTATAGGTTCTTGATCTTCGGTAAACTTCTGAGTAGCTTGTCCCGCCACTCGACTGTCGTAGCTTTGGTTGACTCCAAAGGGAGTAGTGCTGGGATTAATTATATGTGGTTTGTAGTATGAGGTATGTTAAGACTGTTACTACTGTGATTGGAGTTGATCCTTTCGCCAGTTAGTCCTTCGGTATTGTCGACAAGAGAAAAGAGATAGTAATAATAATAATAGTAATAATAATAATAGATATAATTAGTGAAGCTATTCAGACTAAGAGACAGAAACGAAAATAGGAAACGTAACAACAGTCAGCTCATGAAGTTTGAAGAATAATATATATATCGGTAATAGTAATAATAATAATAGTAATTATAATATTAATAAGTTGTCAGGAGAGTAAGACGGGAGAGAATGTAAAGAAGTAAAATGACGAGTTTAATTATCTACCCTGATTGGTAAATGCGATTTTAAGGAGATAGGCCATTTGGATGCAGTCCTTGTATCGCTGCATGGTTGTCCAGCCTTCGCTTAAAGGCGTCCAAAGACGGTGCCATAGCTACATCTGCCGGTAAGGAATTCCAGGGACGACAAACCCGCAGTGAAAAGAAGTGGGAGCGCACCCGGGTCCTTGCCCTCTGGTGAGCTATCCTTCTGGGATTTCCACGTGGAAGCCTATACCTACTCAATGGCAGAACACCTTTGTTTGGGTGATTCTGGTCATTTGTTATTTTGTAGGCAGTAATCAAATCCCCCCTAAGCCGACGGTAACTAAGTGTGAACAGGCCTAATTTCTTCAGCCTTTCATCATATGGTTTGTTTCGGAGACCAACCACTCCTTTTGTTGCCCGTCGTTGGACTCTTTCCAAGAGGTTGGCATCTCTTCTCAGCATTGGGGGTGCAATAATATTATGCACCTCAAGGTGTGGCCTGACGTATGTTTTGTACAACATTAGAAAGAGCTCAGGAGTGAGTGCACCTAACTGTCTATGCGTAAAGTGTATGACCGCATATGCCCTCGCTACATCCCCTGTGTAATTTACGCTTGTGTCCATTTTTTCCGTTAGAACTAGACCTAAGTCGCGTTCCGACGTTGTGCAGGACAAGCTTTCATTGCACAGGGTGTAACTTGCATTCTGCAGTCTACAGGTGCGCAACTTCACTACTTTGCACTTTTTCAAGTTGAAAGTCATGCCACTGGCCACCGCCCAGTCTTCCAGAAGGTTTAGGTCTTCCTGTAGCCTATCTGAGTCCTCCGGACACTTTATCGCCCTCCATATTTTTACGTCGTCAGCGTACAGGAGAGTCGGGCAGCTCAGACGGCGTGGTAGATCATTGATGAAAATCAAAAACATCAGTGGTCCTAGGATAGAACCCTGCGACACTCCTGATGACGATCTGTGCCAAGATGATCGGACTCGGTTAACCTTAGTGCAAAATTGCCTGTCGGCTAGGTAGTCCTTCAACCATGACAGAAGTGGCTCACCTATGCCTGCCTGTCTTATTTTATGTAGGAGAAGGTCATGGTGAACAGTGTCAAATGCCTTCTCAAAGTCTAGGAAGACCACATGGACTGGTACGTTCAAGTCCCAGCATGATGTCCAGTCGTCCCAAGCTGACAGTAGGTTAGTGACGCAGGATCTGCCTTTTCTGAAACCATGTTGGGCTTCATGCAGTATATTAGTCCTATCGAAATATTCCCTGATGTGGTCGTCAATAATACTTTCCAGTACTTTTGATACCACTGGGAGTAGAGCTACTGGTCTATAGCTAGCAGCGTTTTGCCTGTCCCCACCCTTGAAGATTGGAGAAAGGATGGCTCTTTTCCACTCCCTTGGCAGGGTCCCCGAATCCATTGAGTGTTGGAACAAGTCGCACAGGGGTCTACAGAGAGCCTCGGCGCACTGTTTCAGAACAGATGGCCTGATGTCATCACAACCTGGGGACTTCCCAGGTATGAGTCGCTGTAGCTTCCTTAGTACTATTGCGGGGTTTATTTGGGGAGTAGTCGCTAGGTCTTCCTCCTCTGAAATAGTGGTGCCACCATTTTGGTCCGTAACTGTAATATCCACATTGCTGTTTAGCTGTTTAGCGAAGGCTGAACTGAATGTTTCAGCCATCTCCAGACTAGTGAGATATTGACCGTTTGGGCCTACTAAGGCGCATGCCCCTTGGTTTGTCGGTTTTCTTTCCGACATGAATCGGTACAAGTTTTTAGGGTTTGATAGGAGTTTTTTAGCAAGGTTAGCCTGGAATGACCTTCTGTCCCTCCTAACTCTTGCATTACACCGGTTCCTGAGTTCGAGGTATGCATCATGGTCGGTCTGACTCTTAGATACACGCCACGTAAACCAAGCCCTCCGCTTTGCTTGCAGAATACGTTGCGTGCCTCTCTTCAACCATGACGTCTTTCTCTTAGGCTGTGTTGTGACTAAAGGGACGGTATCCGAGATTGCTGCATGGATAATCTTTTTTACCACTTCCCAGTGTTCATCCACAGATAGGTCGTCCCATGCTAAGGGCCAGTCTGCGTCGGACAAGAGCCTCCGCATTTCAGCATAGTCAGCCTTGCTGTAGCACAGACATGGTCGCGTAACATCCCATTGCAAACGCTCACGGAGGACAAGATCGAAACCTATGACTGCATGGTCACTGCTTCCCAGAGGAGTCATGATCTGGACCTTTTCGACGAGTAGCTGGTCACTAGTTAGAATATAATCTAGTTTTGATGACTTTCCACTAGGGCCCCACCTAGTGTCGTCTCCAACATTCTCAGTCAGTCCCGTGTTTCGAATAGTTTGCAGTAGGTTTCGGCCAAATTTTCCCTTAGCACACCCGGAGCCGAGGTTCAGTGATGGAGCATTGAAATCTCCAGCTATGGTGATTTGGTCGTAGCCCAAATCTCGTATTCCTGTGATAGTGCTGAGCAGTAGCTGATTGTGCTCTGCCCCACAGGTGGGAGATCGGTAGATGCCACCCAGTAAGTGCTTGGTGTGGCCTACGGTGAAATGACACCATATGGAGTCTGGGAGTTCGATAAGTGGTGGGTCCGTTGCGCGCACACATTTAAGTTGCCTATCAAAGTATATAGCAACTCCCCCTCCTTCCTTATTATCCCTGTCTCTTCTGACCAGTACCATATCACCTATACTGATTTCATTGTCGGCGATAGTGGGGTTTAGCCACGTTTCAGTAAGAATGATTATTTTCAGTTGAAGGTGTGCTTGGAGATTTCGGAGTTCACCTACTTTCCCTCTCAGCCCCCTCACATTGCTATATAGGCAACTGACAGTGAGTCTAACAACCTCAGAGTGTTGTGGGGTAGTTGACGTGAAACCGTCTGCTGGTGGGGGACTTGATGTTGGAACTAGTTGGCCGATTCCGATAGAACCGGCCCGTTGTAGTTTTTTTCAATGGATTTAGGCAGGACACTTGGGAGACACAGACTATTATTCTCAGAGCTGCATCGCTCTAGTGTCACCGAAGCTTGGGGTCGTATTAAAGCCTCAGTTTGCTGCCTCCTTATATTTCTGGGTCTGCTTTCACAGCATCGGATGTGTCCTCCAATTTTTCCCTTGGTCTCATACCACCGTTGAAGTGATATGGACAACTGCTCCGGGGAGTTGAATGTGACACACAGCAGCTTTGGAGAGTTAATCAATGTTAGATGAGCGGGACGAGGTAGTCGGAAAATGGAGATGGCTCCAGAAGCGCCAGGGGCCATCTGAGATGACAGCCATCTCCATTGTTGTACGTCGTGCATGTGTTTTTCACAAGCAGTGCCGGTTTCCAGCTCCGGAACACCGTGTACCACCATAGAGGTGGAAGGCATCAGTTCCGGTGACTCCCTCGCCATATTTCTGACGGCCCATGGTCTATCTTGCCGCGCTCTTATGTTAGAACTTCTGTCCAGGGCTAGTACCTGAGCCATTAACAGTACTTTTTCGGCCTCTTCGGCAGAGTCCAGTGTAACCCGTAATGGGGGTGGCTTACCCTGAGGCGTGTGGACACCCCTGTACAGTCTGCACAGTTTTGCTGAACTAATGTTCAGACCTAGTTTGCCACACAGGTTGGACCACTGTTCCTGATCAAACAGGGCCCGTTGTTCGAGCAAGCTATCCGTGCTCACAGGTACGTTAAAGAGGATGAGAGAGTTAGACCGACTACCCTCAGACTTAGGTTTTGCCTTCGGCTTCTTGCAGTCCTTTGCATCATTAGCAACATTAGGCTTCGTCGGTACCTGGACAGCCTTTTTTGTGTTGCCAGGCTTGCTAGTGGATGCAAGTGGTGCCTTTGTAATTTTGCCCTCCCCTGATGTGGATGGAACCTTGCTAATCTTCACCTTGTGAGAATTGGCATTTCCAGTCAGTAGGGCTGGTGTGTCCTTCTTTAAGTCTTTGACCAGTTTCGGCAGTGCGAGTTTAGCAGGGGGGAGCTGCATGATACTGTGTTGGGGCACAAGAGCATGTTATTTCTGCTATCCGCAGACACGCTTTGTGGGACTATGCCAGGGCGACAAAGTGGACACACGTACCAAAACCATGGGCATGGGTTATTTCTCATAAACTCATAGTATGCTTTCGGTACTTCTTTGTCACAACGGCAGTGCACCCATCGTTTGCAAAAATTACATTCAAACGCTGAATCAGTTTTAGAAACTGTGATGCTGCACGCCTGGCATTCATCCCCTTTCCTTGATGACGCCTTCGAGGTCTTATGACGTCTTGAACGTTTCCTTTTAGGCTTGATGTGTTTCACACACTGGCCTACAGTTGATGCAGGTGTAGAATTCTGTCCTTCTGGTATTGCCTGTGCCGTTTCAGTACTAGACTGTGGCAATGCAGGCGTTGTATCAGGGCAGACTAAAGCTACACGAGTCTTTAGGATCGGTATGCGGGAAGGGGTTG